TAACTCGGAGGGCAAATTTGTTAGTCTGAGCCATACCCACCCCCTTGCAACTGTTTGTGGATTAACATTGAGAGTAGATACTAGTCCAAGGCTAGAGACCCTTAGGGTAGGGTACAGTAGGTTTGAAGGCCATGTACAGGATGGAAAATATATAGACAAAAGCAGTGTGTAAGTTGATGTCATCACCTCTGACTTACCATCGCACAACGAAAAACTACAAAGTGCCTAAAACTTCTTTCTTATTTGGCCTACAGATGTTGTATTTTTAGAAATGTGTAATTTTAGAAATGCCCAATAATGTTGCATACTTGTGCACAAAGACTCATTTGTTTTTAATGTGTATGTTGGTTCTTTTTGTAATTGCTCAGGTCTGATGGCCATTTTTCAAATTGATTCCATAAACAATAATTTACTGGGAGGAAGGAACGGTATTTCACTTTCATCAGGACAGTTTAACCGTAAAAGACCACACTTTAATAACTCACGTACTTAAATATCCTTAATTGCTAAAATTTGAAATTGCTCTTTGCAGATAGTTTTAGGATGTCACTGAAGGTAACGCTTGTTGAGAAAGTTAGACACTAATTTCCACGAATTGCAGTAAGCAGGCTGAAGTGGCTAATCATGTATCTACAAACAACAAACTCTGTCTGACATTCGTAACAAGCTGCGTTCTGTAAAGGTCAATATCTTACTTTGAGTCACTTACAGTGCAGATTAGATTCACAGGGTTTATTGGTGTAAATTTGATATAGGAACCATAACCTGTAAATGATTGCTGCAGAATACCCACATCTTACTCTATATTTTAATCTCCTTTCTCTTTGCCCATTCTTCTCTCTCCCCTCCCCACTGCTTCAAAACATTGTCTTGAGAATGCCTGAAAACCAGAATTTTAATTAATGTGTATTTGCAGTGCATATATTACAATAATAATCCTTCCATTTGATATAGCGCTTTATCATGTTATTGGGACGTCTCAAAGTGCTTCACAGAATATTCTTTCTTTTCTTCAGGGGGTTATTACCCCCAGAAAAACGATCTGACTTTATCCAGTCTATCCAATAGACTAACAACCGTGTTTCTACTTACTGCTAGGTAAATACGTGGAGCAAACATCTGGCATGTGGAGTTAGTAAACTTGCCTAAGTCCTGTAGTCCTGTAGCTCAGTGGTTAGAGCAAGCGAGACACCTGGGTTCAATTCCAGACAGGGGGAAACCTTGGGCAAGTTTCCACGCCTAATAATAATCCCTCCAAAACAAAACAATAATAAATTGGTCATTTTCAATCCACGATTGTTTGTGGGACACTGCTGTGTGCAATTGGCTGCCGCGTTTCGCCCACAAATATACAGTCAATTCACTTTACAGTTTTCTGTGAAGCGCTTTGAGGCGTCTTGAAGACATGAAAAGCGCTATATCAAATGCAAGGATTATTATTATGTTGTTATAAGGTTTCACCCCGCCCAGGAATCAAACCCGGATCCTCTCGCTTGCGAGGTAGTGTGCTAACCACTACCTACAGGACTCCACATGTTGAAGTCATCGCCTGTGTCTTACCATCCCACAATGAAAAACTAAAAACCTGAAACTTTTTTCTTATTTTTTCAATGTCACTGCACTGACATTAACCAACAACAAACAAAAAATCAGCAGGCATTCTGAGTCCTTGTTTTCTAGTCATATTACAGACAGCCTTGGTGCGTGTACAGATGGTCTGGATTGCCATGCCACTGAAAGCTGGTAGGAGAATAAACAAGTGAAGGAGGTAAATGAGTTTCAAAGGTTGAAATACATCCTGTGCATCATCCATGGCTACACCAATAATACCTGTACCTGCATCAACGGTTATAGATTATCTCTTCCCCCATCCCCACCTCCAGCAAATCTTTTTTTTGTATTTTTTTAAAAAATGTTTTTTATCCACTGAGGCGTAACCATTTGGTTAAATCTCAGTGAATTCAAAAAAAAAGGAAACGCAGGTCAAGGAAAGATGCAAATCTCTCCTCTTTTTGTGTGCATGATAAATTATTGTACTGTTTTTACTCAAAGAAGAAACCTATATTTTGCTTTAAAATAATGTGGAACATAGGTTTTCTTATTTCTGTTTATCCATTCTGTTTCCGTATTAAAAAAGAGAGGAAAAGGATTTTAGCCATTACAATAAAAAGGAGCGAGGGAGAAAGCGATACAGATACGAAGCAGTCCTTTTGGGGGTGGGGGCGGGGGGGTGGTTAAATGCACAGTCTAACTGAGTAACAATGGGTAGCACCATCTGCTGGTCCAAATCAAGAGAGACTTTGCTGTTATTCAGCGACATAACGACATCTCTATTCATGCTGATGCATTTTCATGCTTTGTTGCATTAATTTTCCTTAGCCTTATAGGAGACGAGATTTACAAGCCTCTCTTAATTCGATATTCAGAGGTTCTCATATGCAAACAGTATCGTGTGCAGTAGTCCCTTGCCTGGATGTGATGGGATAATGTACTTGGCAATATTGATTCACAGGGAGGACATGCATTGATAAATCATGATTTTTTTTTCGTGAAGAGCTGCGTGCATCTTCAGTGCAGCAACACTAAATAGGCCATTTAGCAGTTATCATTCAATGCTTTCCCCACAAGCAAAGCCGGAGGTGGAAAAGTGGAGGGCTAGCCTTTGTTGAATGACAAAATGGCTTCTGTGAGGAAGTCTAGAGGAAGGGTAAGTGAAAGACTGAATAAGTGGGAGGAGGGGTTTGGACTAAAGGCTAATGGGATTGCATAACCTTCCTTTCTACTGGCTGGTGCCAGAGTCGCAATGCATCGCCATCTTAGCTGTTGCTGCTTTCTTTAGCCGCCTCGTATATTTTGCTAGCTTAGGCCTAAAGGTGGCATTTGTTCACAATGTTTCAGAGGAACTGTTTGATTGCCTCTGCCTACCAGTGCTGCAGCGCTGCTGTTAGGCTGATGAAGCATGTGCAGAAATATTATCCAGTGGAGTGCACTGGCATTGGCCTGAAAATCTGTTTGGAAATGCCTGGTGGCAATTTACTTTGCTGTAGTCAGCGGCTCCTTTGTGGGTGAGAACGCAGTAATGCTAAGATGTGGCTTCCTACTGTATTTAAACTGGGAACTGTTCAGATTTCTGGAAAGGATTAGTGTGTTATCATGACGTACTTAAAATATTTGAAAATTGGTGCAGTAATAAAGGCAGCTTGACTGTGCGTATCTGTGAAAGGGGGGGGCCTTTGCTTTGTGCTTGTTGACAGACAAATAGGGGATGAAAAAAATATGATAGGCTTGTCCTAATCCTGCTTTGCTGGGAGTCTGCACACTTACAGTATGAAATGCATTAAAAACAATGATTCTATTGAATTGTTGCTGTGGTTGCATGCACTGTGCTGGATGCTGAAATAGTGAAAGGAAAGCAAAGGGGTTAATATTGCATGCACTGAAACTGGTTTCAAGCAAAACAGTACCGATGTTAGAATTAAAGTGGGTTTGTGCGATTAATTCATGCGTTGTTTGAGAGATGCTGGCGTGTTTCACTGTTCATATCTGTGTATACAGTAAAATCATTAACTTGTGTTGTCTGAGCAGACGTTGTTTGCAGAGATTTACTGAACGGAGTTATGTATTGGGAAAGGAATAGTATGGTTTTATTGCGACTCCTGATTGATTTTTTTTAATTAACACTGGGTTACTCTACAGCTTCGATTTTATTTTTTCCCCCGCAGGAGAGAAATAATAAGGATGAGTTTGTGGGTGTTTGGATGTGAGGGTTTGAGGATCTGTGTGTGTGTGTGTGTGTCTGGGGACTATGGAATGGGTGCATGCAGGCACTCACACGCGTGTATGCAAAGAATATTATTTAGCTACCATTTGGTTGTTAATTACATTGTGCCATTATACATACCGGCCATGTATAGATTTGATTTTGACCCAGGTGGGCTACTGCAGTTAGCGGCTAGAACCGATGTGTTTAAGTTGGCTTCAGGTTTTGCTGGCTGTTGAGTTTGGATGCACTAGGTTTGGATACTCTTAAGTATGGTGATGGGTTTCCGCATGTGTCAGACACCCGGCTGACCACCCTCCCCCCTCTCCCCCCCCCAAAAAAAGCAGTGCACTAGGTAACTGACCTAGCCACCAGCAAACTAGCAGCAGCATATTAATTTCCGATCGCAGTTGGCCTCTAGCTGAATTGTGGCCTTCTGTTGTCCTTCAGTGTCATTCACCGATAATGGTCAAGTCTTGCTAATCATTAGCTCAGTGACAGGGTGGGATACAGAGAACCTGGAACCTGTTCTCGTCCTGTAGCTTGCCTCCTGTCTGCTGGTCATGGAACAGCATTAGCAGTCGTCATGGATAATTCAGTCGCTCACACACTCCCCACTTTCCTGGTCAATTCAATGATGGAGCTTGGGTTGGGGGAGGCGAGGAGTAGCTTCATTGTGAAATCTGCAGAAATGGGAATATGGTGGGGGGGGTTATAACAAGTCCCATAAAATTGCTAAGCAGCTTTGAAATCTGTAGACCTTTTCGGTGCTAACCTGTAATTATACTGTTTGACAAAATTGTAGATAATGTGTATGACTATCTATATTGCATTATTGGTGGGTGTAATGGTCTTTAAAAACTCCTCCCCAATCCTTGTGTGTCAACCACAGTCATTGCAAAACTGATTATGGAGTGAGTAGTTTTATTTTCTTTCTCTATGCAGTTTGCAGGCCCACTTGGAGCATAGAATGTAGGCAGATTTTTTGTGATAGGAAGCAAGCGGGGGGAGGGGGGGGAAGGGAAGACTGTGAGCAAAAGGCAAAGCAGTGGGTTACTGCAGAAAGCCATAATGGACCGTGTTTGCTGCATCATTTTCCATCTTTTTTTCTCCCCTCTCTCCCCCTCTCCATTTCCGAAATACTTTGAATCAACGTGTCTGAATTTGTGCACTGCATGCTGTTTTTTTAAAGAAAAGGACGCTAAGGCAACTTAGTAATTTGTCCCTGTTTTTATTTCAGCCTCCTTCCTCTCAGACTGCTGCTGATGGTTCCACTGCACAAGCCGCACAGATTGGCAAGTTACAGAATGCACAGTTGATGACCGAAACCAAACAGCTGAAAAAGAAGGATATGCAGAATAAGCAAGAGAAAGCCAATCGCATCATATCCGAGGCAATTGCAAAGGCCAAGGCACGTGGGGAGCGGAATATTCCCCGAGTGGTCAACCCTGCCTGTTTGGCTGGTGTATCTGATCGGAAAGAGGATAAGAAATCCAACAAGATCAAAATAAAGCCAAAGGATAAAGAATCAAAAAAGTCCAAAACTGCTTCTTGCTCTAAATCAAAGGATAAACGAAAAATCAGGTGCGTTGACCAGTACTTCAGAAATGTACAAGCCTGATCTGTGCTGTTTTTGTAAAATCTTTTCAAATGGATGGACTATACACTCAAAACAATGTGTTCTGTGGATATTTGGCCTGATTATTGGAAATTTGAGACAATATTTATTAGGATTTATTGTAAAGTGTAGTGACTATATCTTTGTGGGACATTTGCTCCACATGAACTGGCTGGATGAATAGTCAGTCAGTTTGTCAAAAGCAATGTCCCACAAACAGCCATGATGTGAAACATTCTTCAAGTAAACAAAGTATTGAAACCATTTAAGCTCAAATACACAATCACTGTTTTCAATTGGTTAATGTGAGGCCAAATGTCATAGATGATATTTTGCATGAAAAATCTGCCTTGGTTTAATTTAAATTTCTATCGTAAAAGAACTGAGGAGATGTGAAGTAATGTATATTATGTCTGCCGAAGCAGCCCCTCCAGGATGTTGTGTTGGCATCTGGCCTCTGTTCTGTTCAGACAGCTAAAATGTTTCTTTGAACAGGAACACGACTGAGAAAATGTTTAAATAACCAGAACTAGTGTAAAGGAAACCAACATGGGCAGCCAGTGCCACTTGGGGAATCGGAGAGATGGGGATAGGGAAATGCAACCAAACCGATTGACTCACTGACCGAGAGCAAAGTAGAAATGTGAGCGCATGAGGAAGATCACCAGAAAAATGGAGAGCTAATCAAGTGGGAAGGGAAAAACAGTCCTTGCATTTGAATTAGAGCCTCTCAGGTCTGGATGATCTCTGAAAGCACTGCATGGGATTCACTGTGAAATGTACCGATTGTATATTTTGTATGTGAAGCCATGCTGCACCTTTCCCACAAATAGCCGTGAAGTGAATTGACCAATTTTATCTGGGAATACAAGTTGATTGAGGAAAGTTGAGAGAACACAGGAAGCTGATGAATTGAAAGTAAAAGCAGATGCATTTGTTTTAATTTGTTCACAAATCAAGATCAGGACGAAACCATGACCAGATAATGTGATATTCATTTTGAGATAAAATATATGCTGGCTTACGAGTTGGTTTTTTTCCCCTGAGGTTTTTTGTTTGTCATCCGGGTGTCCAGACACATGCAGAATCACATCACCATGCTTAAAAATATCCCAACTAAACTGCTTGCGTCTCTTTTAAGTTCCGAAGACTTAAGTGGGTCAGTGTCGAGATTGGTTTAGAAGAAGTCATTGCGATTTGCAGCAAGTAAAGGCTGAACATGTCTCATCCAATTGGACCCATTGTTGTGGAAGAATTTCAGAAATTCTATTCAAAATGAAGGAATTTCAAAGGTGACTTGGCTCACAGCCAACAGCTTTGCTGAAATGATTTGTTCTGAGACTGATAGAGGTGATAATGCTGCAAAATGTTTGTTTTCCCCACAACTGAGTTATTCAGTCTGTATAGTTGTTCTTGGTCTTGCTTTTCTTCTTTTTTAAAAGAAAGGCAAAAAGCTGCTGTTACATTTTAAAAATCCTGCAAAAATGTGTCCGCAGAAATGGGGTTAAGCTGTTTGCTCAAGATGGGTGTGATAATCACCCAAATCTTTTTAGGTTTCTTTTTTCATGATTTATTGAGAGAAATCCACAACTTTTAACTCCCCCCTCCCATTATGCTATTAATTGTGTATTTTGTTTATTGATTTCCCACTTCCATTTCTTAAAAGCCTTCTCCATTTCTGAGTACGGTCGTGTTGCAATTGGTCAAAAATGTAACTTCAGTGAAAGTAGCTATACAGTGTTTTGATTCACATTACACTGTTATGATACACTAGTATCACCTAAGCGTGCAACTATTAGTAGCTCTTTCACCAACAGCATCATCCAATCCCACAAATATCACTTCATCTTTTGAGTTTGGAGATTTGAGGAGTTGAAAGCCAATGATTTTGATTCATTAACTTGTTTAATTAATTAAATAGAGTCCTGCATGAAATAGTTGGACTTTAATGTTACATAGTGTATGTGTACGAGAGCCTTCAGTCACAAGGTTCTGATCATTGATTCAACAGCAAAATCATTATCACATTGGGCAAGAAAAAGAAAAGGAAGAATGAATCGTCTGAAGACGGGTCTGATACTGAGCAACATCCCACACCGTGTGTAAAGAAAGAAAGCATCTCCGGATATCAAGTAAGAATTTAGTGCCTGACACCTTTTGTAAGTGGTCTATTTAAATATAGTCTCCTTACCCTCCTCCCCCCCCCCCCCCCCCCCCCCCGGTAACTGCTCCGCATTATTGAGCCCAATAATTCTTTCCACTCAGTTCTCTGGTGTTCTAGAGTGTGATGATAAACTGAGTTGTATTGTTTGTTGCCATTTGACTTTAAAAATGCTTACTGGTGCTTTCACTACTGTAGTGCTCTTTACTTCAAACACATAATTTGTTCACAAGCCTTGGAGCAGCATGAGATTAAAATACTGCCAGTAAAAGGTATTCAGATTAGCAGAATGACGATTGTATTAGCATAAGTTTTTCATTAGCACAAGTGGGTCATTAGGCTGACTATTGGTATGAATAGCATTTTATTTAACGCTGAAACTTCTTTCAGAAGAGACGTTCAAATCGACAAGTAAAAAGGAAGAAATATAATGAAGATACTGGAATGAAGATCTCGGATGATGAAGAAAGGAAAGCTGCTAGGGGGAAAACCAAGACTGGCTCAAATAAACCAGCTGAGCATTCTGTACAGTTGTTTGTGGTGAGAGGCCTTTGTTTTTTGGTTGAATGCAGCAAAGATATTCATGTTTCTGAGCAGTTTGTCAGCCTGGCTCAGTTGGTAGCCCTCACCTTTGAGTGAGAAGGTTCAAGCCCCATGTCGGGACTTTTATGTAGATTCAAGCCCCGTGTTGGGACTTTTAACTCACTTTGTCCAGGCTGACGCTCCCAATGCATTGCTGGGAAAGGTACTGCATTGTCGGAAGTACTGTCCTTTGGATAAGATGTTAAACCAAGGGCCTGTCTTCATGTTCAGGTGGATGTTAAAAGATCCCACTCAAAGAGAAGGGAGTTTCTCTCGATGTCCTGCCCAACAATCCCCAGTCAAAACATTTGTCATTCACTTCATGGCTGTTTGTGGGACGTTGTGGTGCACAAATTGGCTGCCACATTTGCCAGTGGAATAGACAGTCAATACATTTTACAGTAAAGGCTTTGAATTTGTCATGTTTCTTTCCTGTTCCTTCTCTCAGGAAAACCCCAGTGAAGAAGATGCTGCAATTGTGGACAAGATTATGGCTTGCAGACTCGTGAAAAAAGAGGTGGGGACTGATTGTGTTCACTGTGGAACGTTGCTCTTGTATTTGCTGAGTTTACCTTGATATACATTTTTTTAACCTTATTAAACCCTGCGTTTTTTTGTGTGAATGTTAGCCTACAGTTATTGCAATTGCTGCAGAAATGTACAACTCATTTGTTCAGTCAGAACAAAGTGGGGGAACAAATGTTATTTAAACAAACGGTTGAGAATGAGTGTTCGGATTCAGGCTTGATCCTAACCTCTGGTAAAAATGTTATGTGCTTAATCAGTATGATAGGATGAAATTAGGTAAACGAGTATAAACTGCTCGGTACACATTCTGTTGGCCACCATGTGTAAGCATGTATTGTGCAAATCCCGGGGAGGCCACTTTTATTTTCCTTATTTTTTTTTAGCGAGAAAAAGTGCTATTTATTTAGAATCATCAAGGTCATTGGGATGTCAGGTGAAAGGCGTTTTATAAGTGTAGAATATATTGTAGTTTTTGAAACTTTTACAATATACAAAAAATTATAAAATCCCTGCTGGGGTGGGTACATGTAATTGGTTTAAAAGTTTTCTCTCGTCTCCCTCTTGCCATTTCGCCCACAGAATACAGACAAGTCAATTCACTTTACAGTATTATTCTGTGAAGCGCTTTGAGACGTCTCGAAGACACGATAAGGCGCTATATCAAGTGCAAGGATTATTATTAGTATTACAAAACCCCTTAATAACCCTCTTAAAATAAAACCAAGATCATCCCTGTGAATATTCCATGTTATGAGCCATTGGCAAGAATTTTTTCTCCAAATGCTTGTTTCTTTTAATGTACTTCTGATGAATTTTAATTGGAAGCTTTTATTTTCTAGGTGGCCTCTGGACATCTGGCTGAGGTTGAAGAATTTTTCGTTAAATACAAAAACTAGTAAGTAGAACAGTCTTGCTCTTCAAGATATTGTTAAATCCTTGTTGATCAGCAGCGACTGTTTGAATGGAATTTTAGTGCTGTTTAAAAGTTGGTTGCAACTTCTAGTTCATTAATAGGGTTAAGAAATGAAGTGCCATTTGGCAACCTTCAATGCTCATGAAGTCCAAATTTTCGTAAACGAGTAGTATAAAATCAGTTAACGTCCATTCACACCACATTATTTGTCTCTCATCACCTCAGTCTTTCCTGGATTGAGGAGCACTATCTGTGAATTAATTCCTCTGGAGCCGTGTTGAAGAGATGCATTTAAGAAGATTGTTTCAAGACCACTTCAATCTCCCCTCCCCCCCGCCATACTGTAAAACACAGTGGTGCAAATTGAGTCCAGTTCCGGAAAATAAGAAACCTCCAAGGAATTTTTGTTTATGTTGACGGACTGGTTGCACGACCGGGTTTTTAACAACATTAAAAAGCTATCTCAGTTTTGCACAGAGCTCCAAGGTTGTTTTTTTAAACAAAGAAAATGATGAGTAGAATGTGCAAATTAGACTTCCCCGTTCACATGGCTGAAAGTACAATCACTTCCCACCACGGTATAAATAAGGCGCGATTCATGATATAAATTCTATTGTTTGTGTTTACATCCTTATAACCTAATAATGTGCTGTTTTGCCAGTGAAATTTGCAGTTTACTCACAATGATGTACTGTGATTAGTGCATTAAAATAAATGAACACAGCTGCAGGACTTTTCGTAGATATTGCTCTTTAAAAGTTGTCGTTGCTTAATTTGACTGACAAACGTGGTTTAAAATAATGCAATGACTATTCCAATTGAAGCTTATAATGGTAAACCCTGCACTTTTTCAGCTCCTATTTGCATTGTGAGTGGGCCACAGAAACTCAACTGTCGAAAGACAAAAGGATACATCAAAAAGTGAAACGCTTCAAGATTAAACAGGCGCAGAGAGGCCATTTCTTTGTAGCTGTAAGTAACAAAGTGCTTGTGGATTCCAATCTGAAGGTGCAATCTGTAAATAGATGCATCTTGGATTTATGGAGATTGGCGGGGTGGGAGGTGGAAGATAAATGATACCATTTCAGAATTACTTGTCATTTTACACATTGCTATATGATATTCTTTACAGATGGATGAAGAACCTTTTAATCCAGACTATGTTGAAATTGATCGAATACTGGAATACTCATGTTGTGAAGACAAAGACACTTGTGAGGTACCAGAGCACTTTTCTTGGCTGGCTATGCCTTGTCTTATACAATGTAAAGGCAGTTATTTTACCTAATATAATTTTAGAATGTCGAGAATCTTTTCGTTATGACTGGTAATGAGTAGTAAAGGTAAAATAACAAAGCAAAATGTTTCATGCTGTTTGTAATTTATTCCTTTGAGTTTCATGAATGCTTTTTAATCATGAAATAGGCTACCTGCATTCAATATAAAAATATTTGTTTATAACCCACACAATCTACGTTAGAATATGGATGAAAACCCATTATGTATTTTTCTATATGGGTGGGAGAGGTGGAAGTAGTGTTACAAGGTGATCATGTAGTGTTACATAATTAACATGTTTGTAATTTGGTTGTTGCGTTATTGTCTTGGCCACTGCAATTTCAAACTGCATCTTTTCATAGTCATTTCATTTGTAATTGAAATGAGGGATGTTCCTGCTTAGAATGCAGTTGCTCTGTGGATCTGATGTGACTTTCCTGAGAAGACATTGTGATATTAAGAGATTTAGATATATTTAATGTCTCTCATTAGATTAACATATTTTTCCACTTTATGCAGCCTGTTGTTTATTATTTGGTTAAATGGTGCTCATTGCCATATGAGGATAGTACATGGGAGCTAAAAGAAGATGTAGATCAAAGCAAGATCGAGGAGTTTGAACGGCTGCAACAAGCTAAGCCTTGCCTAAAGCGTGTGGTGAGTTGAATAAACCTAGATAACATTTAATACGAGATTGGTAAATATCTGCTAACTTTGCAACAAAATTCCATTTATCTTAAAAAAAAGTTTGGGATGTTGACTGGAATTTTTTTTAACCGTTTTGTAACGTGTTGGAAATGATCTTAGGATTGAATATGGATCATCTTCAGTAGTTTTAGATTTTAGTTTTATTTTGCCGGGTTGATGTGCTGTCCCAAGGTGAGAAACGCTGCGAAGTAAGAAGTGACATTCAGTGTGAGCACGAGCTACTTTCAAATCATGCAGCAAGGTTTGTGCTCCCAATAACAGAAGGAAGTGTGTGGTCCACTGTTCTAGTGTCATACGTTCCATCTCCCACACATCCTTTCCTATGAATGAGCTTGACATTTTACATATATCTAAATTATAGGAACATTTGTGCTGTGTGCTCATTACAAACTTGAATGAAACTGCCGCCTAAAAGCTGTCTGTCTGTCTTTATTAAACAAGGGGAAATTTACAGCATCATTTTAAAAAAAGAATAAAAATGTAACACCAATGAGCTTGAACATGGTAAAAAGCTGAAGAGCTAATGATCTTTTTTCTTGATGTTCATCTACATCCAATTTAATTTGTTTTTTCCATTTCCATTTTGTCTGAAAAGGATCGACCGTCTCCCCCTGCTTGGAAAAAGATTGAACAATCTCGGGATTATAAAATTGGCAATCAGCTCAGAGAGTATCAACTGGAAGGACTAAACTGGCTGCTTTTCAATTGGTATAACAGGTAGGTTTGGACTCTAAAATACATCCAAAATGTCTTTCACATAACGTGTTAAATTCGTAGGCGATTAAAGAAATGGACAAAATATATAGTAAACTCCTGATAACTCGATCCTGGGTTAATTGGTCACTGCCACTTAAGTCATTGTGTTCGCAATATCCCTTCCGCATTTATTTACGTATTTATACATATGTCTAACTCTCCACTCGGGATAACTCGTTCCTGAACCCTTTTTTTCCTCGGAGTGACGAGATATCAGAAGTTTACTGTACATGGATCATAATATTGTGTGAATTGACAATTGTGTGTCAAGTAAGCAAATGTGTTGTTGGAGGAATTTCCCTTTGTCACCATGGTTGAATAACCTGACAGCACTCTTATCTGGGCTTCAAATAGAAGAATAGCCACTTTAGTAAAGTTACAGGAGGGCTGGTCATCTGCACTATATGCAACATGAGTCCAGGTGTTTTAATTGACACAGTAAGTAGGGGTTAACTTCATTCTGGTAGAGGGATTCAAAAGAAGAGGGAATACTTCTTATAATGTCTTGATAAATTCTTAATAAATCCCTCCTTCCTCTATTCTGCTTACAGTGCAGGAGGATTATGTGGAATGGACTTATGTGTCAAAGGCGGCGGGTTACAGTCTGATTATGAATGGGACTGAAAATTATTAGAAAATACATTTCTGTGTTTTTTTCTTTTCAGAATTTTTGTCTCAATTACTTACCACCCAATAGGTTTTCTAAAAGTGAAAAAGAAGTTCAAAATAGTGCAGATTATATGTATCTGTTGGACACTCAGGCTTTAATGGGTTGAATGCACTCTTCTGTTCAGAACTTTGTTTCTCATTTGCATAGAAATACCGAGATGGCAGAGCATCAAAACAAGCCATTCACCCCACCTTGTCTTTGCCAGTGATTGTATTCCACATTATCCTCCACCCTTTCTTCTCCCATACTCCCTCCATTCTCTTCCCCCTCGCTTATGCATCCGAATATCTCTTAAGTTGCATCAATTTATTTAAAAACATTTGCATGAATTAATTTATGTCAATTTCCTAGCAGAGATTGTCAAAATACTTTTTTTTCCCCAACAAATCTTTGGAGGACCAATTAATGTACCACTGCTTTGAAAATAGATCAGTGTAGCAAAGCTGTATGGTTTGTCTCCTCTAACTCTGTAGAAATGCTGACCTTAGCTTAATGGGTTTTGGCAAACTAGTTATGTGTTGATAACATTTCAAACTGATAGAACACATAAAGGTATCTCTACCTGTTTGAATCTACTGTATTTGAAATGTGTAATTTATAGCATACAGCATAAAAATAATGATTTCTTTTTCATTTCAGGCAAAACTGCATCCTTGCAGATGAGATGGGTTTAGGTAAAACCATCCAGTCTATTACATTCCTTTGTGAAATATTTATGACTGGCATCCATTGTCCCTTTCTGATCATTGCACCTTTGTCTACGATTGCAAACTGGGAAAGAGAATTTCGCACATGGACAGACCTGAATGTCATTGTTTATCATGGCAGCATGATTAGTAGGCAGATGATTCAACAATATGAAATGTACTTCCGGGACTCAGAGGTAATACTATTTCTCAAGTGCACATACGTTTTTGAGAGTCGCTTTATACCATTTTTAGTTCTGTATTTTAATTTCTTGCTCTGTACTTTGCTGCATACTACTTAGGTTACTTTAAAGTCACTGGCAATGGATAGTGTGTGTGTGTATGTGTTTTATAAAAAGTATGAATCCAACAAAGTAGGGGTGAGAAAATAATTTACCCCTAAATCCATTTGAATTTCCAAATTAACTGATTGTCAAATTTTTTGAGGATTAATTGTACTTTATCACAGTTGTCAGCCAGCAACTTTCATGGAGAGGATGAAACGGTGAAATGTCTATGCAGACCATGACTGAATGAAAGTTAGCCAAAGAAACGTTCACAGCTTTGTTGAGGGAAAGGGGCATTTCCATATTTTATTACCCGAAGACAGTATGTTCATCTCTCTGGTTTGGTTTTGCTCTTAATTCCTAGGGCCGCATCCTTCGGGGAACATACAAGTTCCATGCAATGATCACAACCTTTGAGATGATTCTCGGAGGCTGTCCAGAGCTGAACGTGATTGAATGGCGTTGTGTGATCATCGATGAAGCCCACAGACTGAAAAACAAAAACTGCAAACTGCTGGAGGGATTGAAAATCATGAATCTGGTACGTCGCCAAAACTAAGAATGCATAGGTATATTGTGTAACGTTGCAAAAAATACAGTAGCACATATTAGTATTAAATTGGGACGTCCTCCTGACGTGAAAGGCGCTTTATAAATGGAATCTTGTTGTTGTTGTTGTTGTATTGGCTGAAAGCGCAATACGGGCAGCTAGTTTATATTGGGATTATTGACGTTTTATTAAACTTGAGTTGCTCCTTATTCGTGTGCTGAAATTGTGCCCCCTTGGCCTGATTAAGTCAGTTAGATGGGACTGAGTCATTCTACGCATTATGACTCAGTTGTTAACAACAACTCCAAGATTTATTGATGAGTCAGACAGGCACCTAAACAACCAGCAGTTCTTTGAGGTAGATAAATTGGGAGAGGTGGCAGAGGAGGAACCATTAGATGTGGTGACTTCACCCAGTGATGATGTAATGGTCTGTAATTCATGATGCAGGATTGAACTGATTGTTTGTTTTGGTGAAGGAACACAAGGTGCTTCTGACCGGAACCCCTCTGCAGAACACTGTGGAAGAGTTGTTCAGTTTGCTTCATTTCCTGGAGCCTTTGCGTTTTTCATCAGAAGCCACATTCATGCAAGAGTTCGGGGACTTGAAGAGTGAAGAACAGGTATAACAATTCATGCAACCAGCAATACTAACCACGATTAAACTGCATGGCCAATAAATCAGATTTCTTGTTGTTCGATGGCACAAAATGTGAGTGTAAAATATTTACGCAGGCCACGACATCACTGAGCGTATTAAGTGGAGAGCAAGAAGATTCACCGCCCTGTTAATATCTTTACCTTCCTTGGGGGTCTATATAAAAACTGCCAATTGAGCCTGGAAAGAATGTACAAAATGAATTCTTACATGAATTACACCCAGCCCCCACAAACAAATAAATAAATTACTTAATAGATGTTCAAAAGTAGTTCATTATAGCATAGTTATATTTTTAAAATTCTGCATGAACTATAGAAAATGTGAAGAATTTACATTCAGACCAGAGGAATCTTCTTTTAAATACTTGTTTCTGTAGGCAAAGGTGCTGTGGAAGAATTATGTTTGTGCAGAGGATATTATAGTAGTGTCCAACTATCCTCTGGGTTTGATGCATTTAAATGCCTACACCACTATGTGCAAGCCTGGACAAAGTGAGTGTTTCGTCCAGGATTGAATTTGATATCGGTTATGTAATTCAGGGTGATGTGTTTTAAACTGTAAATGGCTCTGTACTTGCAAATGCTCATCCCCGGAGAGTGATTTACAACATCTGTTCTTATCGTCCCTCGTTTCCACCACGTTTCTCTCTCAGGTGCAAAAGCTTCAGGCGATCCTGAAGCCCATGATGCTGCGACGTCTGAAGGAGGATGTGGAAAAGAAGTTGGCTCCTAAAGAAGAAACTATTATTGAAGTCGAACTCACCAATATTCAGAAGAAATACTATCGGGCAATCCTAGAGAAAAACTTTGCCTTCTTATCCAAAGGCGCCGGTCAGGCAAATGTGCCCAACTTAGTCAACACTATGATGGAGCTAAGGAAATGCTGTAATCACCCCTATCTTATAAAAGGTGAGATTTAATCTTCCTGCGTTGTCGGAAGTGATAGACTTCAATTTCTAAAATTGAATCCCATCAACACAAAGGTATAGAATTCACAGAGTAAAGATACCCTGGGCCGTAAATAACCAATTAATGCTGCCTGATTAAGGTTTTGATAGCGATACCGCTAATTTTATTTCACCAAGAAAGGCCTTTCTTAGGTAATCAAAAAGGAACATGTGGTTTAATTCTGAAATTTTCACCATTAACTCATAATAATCACCCAGCGATATTATACCCATATGCGGGCTTGGAAATTAGATGATGATTTTTTTTCTTTCTTGGTAACAGGTGCTGAAGAGAAGATTCTTGGAGAGTTCAGAGAGCTCCGCAGACCAACCGCCCCAGATTTTCATCTGCAAGCAATGATTCAGTCAGCTGGTAAATTGGTCTTGATCAACAAGCTGCTTCCTAAGATGAAAGCTGGAGGTCACAAGGTACTCATTTTCTCCCAGATGGTGCGCTGCCTGGACATACTCGAGGATTACCTCATCCAGAAAAGGTACAGGATCAAGAGGGGCAAATCTGATTTGAGTTTGGTTTTCTAAAACGACTTGGTTTTGTTGTTTTTAAAAAAAAAGAAATAATTTTTTTAATATTTTGTTTGGGAAACAAAATTAAAGGGATTGCTGCATAACTGTAGAAACAGATGCAAGCTTATATGCAATTTGTGTCTGAAAGACTGAATAATATTAAAACCAGAGAAGTCTAAAGGAAGGCCTAAGGCCTATATGTAGGGTGTTATAATAGGAATGTAGCCAAGTGAAATGAATGAATGCTCTTGTGCTACCTTCTATTCTCAGTTGTTCATGGATCATTATTGCCCTAACCTACTGTTGTAGGTTTGCCATTGGTAGTGGAGCCTGAAGCAGTTGTCTTTTTTCGCTTTATTTCGTTCAGCCTGCCAAAACAACTTGTTGTGATTGCCACTGAGGATGTTGACTACTGGAACTTTTATCTGGGCAATGGTTTGGAGCAGAGTACTGAAGTTTGTAAGGCAGTATCTTGGATCAAATAAGCTTGCATGTATGTCTGAGAGCTTGGGTTTTGTGCGTCACGTTTGGCTATCTATGTTGAATGGGTACCTTGAATGTGAAACCAGTTGAGTTTGTGATATTGCAATTGTATTTAAAGCTGTTGGAAGTGTATTTAGTGAAAATTCCATTTCAGATTTGATGGGTGTGCTCAATTGTGACGGGCTGTTTAATCAGCGTGAAATAAATGATTAATTGCAGCTCTTTGATCTCTTGTGTGTGGTGATTATACAGTGATTAATCAGTGTAGATATTAAGAGGTAATGGTGCGAATGCCAACATTTCTCTGATCCTTCCCCAGTAGGTGACAGAGCTGTCAAAACATGGTTATTCACTCTTCATTTGATGCTTTCTCCTAATTGTAAAAGTGCAACTAAACAATGCATTTATTTGAGACAAAACCATAATGTACTGAATTCTAGGTAACATGTCTGCATGTGTTCTTGGCAATGATCATGAGCGGGTTCACCTGAAGCCTGTACAAACTGATTTTAAATTAATTGCATAAAAGGCTTATGCAATACTGTACCATATGTGTTTATACCATGATTCAGGTCACGTTGCCACGGTGAATACTGTATGAAAAACTCTTGGTAGTGGGTGATATGTGAGGATAGCATGATTTATGTGATCCTGGAACAAGGTTTGTGAGACAAATATCGAGCCAATGAAATGTATTATAAGTTGTAATAAAATCATTCAATCCGTCAAAAGTCAAATATATGCAATAACTTCATACAGCCCAGTTTATAATGTAAACTGAGCTCATGACTGTATAGAAGCAGCACGTTTTAAGAAAGGAGAGAATCGTCTCATCTTGTTAATCTGCCGGTGTTTAAAATTTTTACTGTTTTTATATTTTTATAGGTATCCCTACGAACGGATTGATGGAAGAGTCCGGGGAAATCTACGGCAAGCAGCAATTGACCGGTTTAGCAAGCCTGACTCTGATAGATTTGTTTTCCTATTGTGCACGAGAGCTGGTGGGCTGGGCATTAATCTGACTGCAGCGGATACATGCATCATTTTTGATTCTGATTGGAACCCTCAGAATGATCTTCAGGTAAATAAGGATTCAGCAGAGGTCAGTACTTCTGCCCTACACACAAAGTCTAACAAACTAGCAATCCCTTTTTTTCCTGTAAAACTGTATTGGAAAGTTATATTGTGCATAGTCTCATTCATGCTTAGGTTAGAATCAGGAGGAAAGGCACCCTTTGAGCATTTAATTTGTAGCATACTAAAACAAATGTTAGTGCCTTCAAACGCATTCAGGAAAGCTACTGCCAGGCTAGCAATAACTACAATAAAGTCATTCTATTGCTCAGTGTGATGGTTCATTACAGCTGAAATCAACTGAATAGATAATACTGCATGAAATTCCTTTGATTTAAACCACTTGATATATTTCCAAGAAACCCTCAAGTGAATGAATTCCTAGTCTCTCATTTTAAGTCAACGTCACACAGCATAACGCAGAGGTCGGGATTTAATGCAATTTATTTTCATAAGAAATGTTGGAATGTTTTGGGATCTTTCGGATATTGGATGGAAGCAAAATGTATTGATTGGTTCAGAATTCAGTTTCTATGGTCTGCTGTTAGTAAAGGTGAGGTGAGTGTTTGGGGGTTTGTTTTTGCAGGCTCAAGCTCGATGCCATAGGATCGGTCAGAACAAAGCGGTGAAGGTTTACAGGCTAATAACACGCAACTCGTACGAACGGGAGATGTTTGATAAAGCCAGCCTTAAGCTAGGTCTCGACAAAGCTGTGTTACAGAGTATGAACGGAAGAGAAAATAGTGTTGGTGGGGTATGTAAAGATTCACAAGGAGAACATATTGATTGTAAACAATTACATGTATTAAAGTTGCGCAGTGTCATTGCAAGGTGCTCGCAGCTCAGGAGTCAGTCTTGTGACTGCATGTTTGTTTATGATTATGAGCCTGATTTAAGCATTCAATTCCGATCTTAACAACAACACTTAAATAGACGTCACAGAGTAAACTGATAAAATGCCTATTGCTCACTTGGGAATATCGAATGGTAACTATTTGTGATAATTTTCAACTTGTGGAATACTAAAACCAGAAGAAGAGAAGTAAGCAACTTCAAAAAAGATTGTGGACTAATAAGCTGGTTTATAACTTAACAATGCAATATATGTTCTGCTCAAATCTGGGATTTGTTTTAGATTCAGCCAATTATTCAACTATTTCCTATTTGGTGGCTTACATCTAAGGAGTGCATCTGGGGCAAATATTTCTTAATGCTTAAAAACCACGCAATTAACTGCTTAAAACCTGTAATAATATTTCTGTTTAATGAGACCATATGATTGACTGTTGATGCTTTATTATTACATTTAGTCATTTGAAAATAAGTGATACAGTCAGTCCCAAGGCGGTGAATCTTATATAAATCTATAACTGTTGTAGATACAACAAATGTCTAAGAAAGAAATCGAAGACTTGCTTCGAAGAGGTGCTTACGGTGCAATTATGGATGAGGAAGATGAGGGCTCCAAATTTTGCGAAGAAGACATTGATCAGATCCTCATGCGACGTACGAAAACCATTACTATTGAATCTGAAGGAAGAGGCTCGACATTTGCTAAGGTAATTTGACATGATTTCCACGGCACAAAATTCTACAGAATAACCTTGCTGCGACATCAGATTTTGTTGCCTGTGGGAAACGTTACTCTGACAAGAGAACTAAGGTTGAGCCTGGAGGCTGGTCTTGACAGTTGCCTTAGCTTCTTAATAGAGTTAATTAAGCGTTCGATGCATTTCTGAGGTGCGACAGAATGCAGGCTGTGAATATACATTTCGTGGAGTGTAATCCCAATAGCCAGTAAAATCAATGGCAAACCTTTAGCTCTTCACAAATCTTGGTCGGATTTGTCAACAGAAACCAATTTCCGTTTCAGCATTTTCCTAAGGACATGGAAACAGGAGTAGGTAATTTGGCCCACCAGCTTTTTAAACTTAACTATTCCTTGTTTGTTTACTGAACTGCACGCTGAAAGATCATCCGTGAGAAAAAAAGGCATTTTCTTTCCCTGGTATGGTGGAATCCATCGATAGTCTTATGTCAGAATGATTTTGTGGCCTTATGCAGCTGCTGTTCACATTGTTGCCTAACGTGCATTTCATAATCGTGGCTTTAAGAATCCAATTTGGGAATTATTGAATTGCCCACTGCCATCGAGTTGCTTGGCAATGGAATGTCAGAGTCCACCCACTGTGGCCGTCTCAGTACTCCAGTTCCTGAGCCAGCCGGGTCCGCGATACTGCCAATGACAAGCCAGCCAGCCTGGCTCATCGGTAGGACTCTTGAGGGGCTGAATGAGGGCAGGGATCTTCTGTTAATCCAGCAAGTTAAAGCCCCAATGTGTAGATTGGCCTTGGCTGGACAAGAAGCCGACAGTGGCTCTCAATGGAAAGCTATGTGGTTTTAGCAGTTTGAACTCTAGCAGTACACCAACACAGATTCTCTGGCTCTTGCCAACTTGTGCATAATACTCTACAGAATTAGGAAAGTGAGATTCATCCCTCCAAGGAAACAGTGTGCATTCCTTCCAGACACAAATTTTTCATGAGTAGATGACACATATATTTGGAACTCTTTCTGATTTGGATGCTCTTAAACATAGTGATGGGTTTCTGCAAGTATTGACACACAGCGGACCAAAATAAATTTCTACTGCTTCATTTAAAATTTAGTTTGGCCGTTTCTCCGAAGAATTAGAATTGTCTAAGAAATCGATGGTTGCAGGTTCTTCAAAGATTATCTAGTCCTTCACAATTTCCTGCATAATTTGAAGATAACATGGTTAAATGTTCTTCCTTCCATTTGTTTCACACCTCAACATGGTGTGTAACTTTTCTCATGACATTACTTTGTGGCAAACCTAAGCGTGTTGATCCTCAACAAAACTTGTTGTTACTCATTTCAGGCAAGCTTTGTAGCTTCTGGCAACAGAAGTGACATCGCTCTGGATGACCCTAATTTCTGGCAAAAATGGGCCAAGAAAGCAGAAATCGATCTTGAAGCTATTCACGGAAGAGTAAGTCTTAGCTTGAACTTAAAGCACATTCACGCTCTTTTTTGCAGAAAAATAAGTCCAATTGTTGATCACCTCTCTTGAGTATTGTGGGCAAACTTCCCAGTGTGAGCACAATGCAGGGGAAGCATTACAGAGGAACATTTCACCCAGCGTTTCTCCCTTGAGAGAATCTAATGGACATTTTATCAAGCGATAGAACGTTTTGCTTGTGCAATCATAGAAAATAATTGCGGAGACTTCAAAGTTCTCTCCACCTGCATTTCTCTGCAGAATGTGAGGGAAAACCATTTTCCCTTATGAATACGGAAAGAGAAACCATTTCTCAGACACTGGTTTTCCCGTTAGAATGCTAATTGGTTTTTTTTTTGCAGGTTTAATTTTTTAAATCACGTGCTTATTGCTGGCTCTGCATTCTGTTAAATTCTTTACAGTCGACAGCAATTTTGTTTGTTTTGTATCAAGTTGCAGCATTACATCCAAGAGATTACACTGAAGTGAATTGCAATTTAGCCTATAAATACCAACATGATGTATATATTGGTGACCATGGACATGGCACATGAAAAAGCAGAGAAAATAAAATTATTGACTTTTCTATTCTCAACAGAATAGCTTGGTTATTGACACTCCAAGGGTAAGAAAACAAACCAGGCCGTACAATGCTGCTAAGGATGAATCGGCAGAACTATCTGAAGCAGAGAGCGATGGAGAGGATAAACCCAAACTGCGTAGACTATGTGACCGAGCTCATGGATATGGTAGAACAGAATGCTTCAGAATTGAGAAAAACCTGCTAATTTATGGGTACAGTATAACTTCCTCCAAACCTCCTCAAATCACCTGAGTACGTCAAAGCCAGAAATAGACTTTTTAAGTCAGTGTCAGCTCGGCTTAACTCCCATTCACATTCTCAAAACAAACTATTATTTTCTCCATTAGTAATTGTCTGAACAATCTTATTATCAGATTATATGGTGTCGTATCTTACCCCAATAACTAAATATATTTTTTTCCTTTTGAGAACTCTATAAAAATTTAAGTAGCTACATTTTTCAAATTGAGGAATCGCTAATATTTCATCCTTCTTTGCCCCATCCCATCGTATATTGAAAAACTTTAAATCAGTTCCCTGTGCACAGACAGACAGCACACACACATACTGATGGGACAAATACACATATATTCCTCTGATTGGAGTCTTAAGCTCTCACTGCAAGATATTGATTAAAATATCAATACACTATTTTCTGATTTAAGGCAGGTAATTTGAAAACAACTTTACGATTTATGGATGGAATAATTTTTTTTAAAGAGTTAGCAAATCAAGCATCTTTAACAATATCTAATGTAATGCAGGTGGGAGCGGTGGAAAGATATTTTATCGCACGGGCGGTTTAAGAGACGCCTGGTTGAGCAGGATGTGGAGACAATCTGCCGTGCCCTCTTGGTATACTGCCTCGTTCACTACAGAGGTGACGAAAAGATAAAGAGCTTTATTTGGGACCTCATTACCCCAACAGAGAATGGACAGACAAAGGAACTGCAGAACCATCTAGGTAAGATAATGGCCTCATGTTTCAAAAGGGTTATTCGAGTCATGTTGATTTGAAATTAGAAACTGCTTAGTGTTTGCTGAGTCAGGTTCTTATGATCAGGTAGCATTTTCATTGGAAAGTATAGTTTGACCATTGATGCAGTACACTGCATGTGGGCAATGTTTGCAGAGCCTATGCATTTGCTTGTTGTTATAGACTAGATTACCAGTCTTCAGTGTGTTTCACAATGCACTTATTTGGTTGGGTGACAATGGTCCGACCAGCTTAATTAATACGGCGGCCTTTAATGAGGTGAATCAGTTGCTCTGTGCTTTGGAATGATCTTTTTAACGTGGTTTAAAAACAACAGACCGAGGATGAATTTTATAACCAATTTTCAGCATTATATCCAATTGATCTTTTAAAACAAAGAGATTACACTGAACTGGTGTATTGCCGGGTAACAGAAAAGAACTGACTAATGTCAGACATTTTCTGCTTTGTAAATGTCTCTGGCAGCTGAAAGCCAGCCAGTCTAATTGTGGACGTGTCTGGGTATACGTATGTGGGGTTCTCATTTCTCTGAGTCAAGAAATGTCAGCAGGCAGTCCAGCAGCATCTGCCAGCTTGAACCTTTCTCCAAAACACTTCTGATACTGCACACCTTAGCGCAGCATCATCAGCTTCTGCTGACCCTGCAAAGCAAATCTATAAAAGGATAGGGTGATCCTCGCTGGACAAGCAGCAGGACAGTGGCAAGCTGTGTGGTTTTAGCTGGCTAAATCCTAGCACTACTCCAATGAAAGTTGCATGAGTTTATTTGCTGTAATTAAAAGACACAAAAGCATACATGAAGGGGGTGACTTCTAAGTTAAGTTACTTAGAATACAGAATTACAAAAATACTTCAGGAATCAGTAACCTTTTAAAACTTAGCATGAATAACATGGTCTTTCTTGGTAACACACTTGTTAATAGTGTTTGTTCCCCTTTATCAGGTCTGTCTGCACCAGTTCCAAGGGGCCGAAAGGGGAAGAAAGTGAAGACTCAGGAAGCACTTTTGACATGCAGGCCGAGTGGCTCAGGAAGTACAACCCAGAGCACCTACTGCAGGACGATGGCTACAAAAAACATCTAAAACACCACTGCAATAAGTAAATTAGCCAAACTAACACTTTCCACAACCAATGTTCTTTGAGACTAATAAAGTGGAAGTAGCTTCTCCAATAAGGCATGTTGGGCTTTCCTCCAGAGAACATGAAAAATGTTGATGTTGTGCGAGAGAAGCTAATTTAGTTGTCTTTTTTGTAATGCTCAGCATTTTATTTGAGGAAACTTCTTAAAGGTAATCAGAGAACTAAATGTTTTATACACCTTAAGATCTGAGGAAACTGTTTAAATAAATGCCTTATGTTTAGTTTGAGATATTGAACAGCTTTGGAAGACAATGTCTTGCGTACCTGAATCAGAAAGCTGATGTACATGTGTTTTTCAGAGTTCTTCTGCGGGTGAGAATGTTGTATTACCTGAAGCAAGAGGTAATCGGTGATCAGCTGGAGAAGGTGCTTGATGGTGTTGACGCTGGGTGAGCACCAAATGGCTAGAGGTTCAAACCTTTCACTTGTAACCTTGAGGGTTATAAGCAATGTAACATTTCCTTGAATCCTGCACATTCTCACACACTCTCTCACCTGTACTGCATCAATACTTTTATGAATCACTTCACTCGAGTTGAATCATCCAAAAATGCTTCAGGAATCAGTAACCTTTTAAAACTTTTTTGAATCGTGCCATGGGAGCTTGAATGTCCAGCTAAGCAGACAGACAAGACTTCAGTTTAATGTCTCACCCGAAGGGCGGAGGTGACCAGGGCAAGAATCGTTGCTGATTTATTCCCCCTTCTTAACCCTGCAAAAGCCAGGGTCAAGTTAGCCTCCCCACACAACCGTGGCTGAGACCAGCAATCTTGGGGTGCACCGGGATTCAAACAAACAAACTTCCCTAGTCCATAAATTGCAGCTCCATCAAGCACACCATCGGGGCTGCCTACCCTATGTTTGGGATTTTATTGTGTAGAAGAAGAATCATTGATTCAAATAGAGATAACCCATCTGGTAAACCTAGGGAGGAAATTTAACAAGTTTGCTGAACTAGATGGAAAAAATGTTAACCTTGTCAAATGAATCTGTTTGGAAGAAATGCTTTCTTTCCAAGCAGATTAAGCAGTGATTTGATGAACACGTTTTTACTCTGGAGACCTTGCCCAAGCATAATGTGTTGGCTGATTGAACTTGTCAGTTAATAATGTGTCATTTCTTTGATCAGCGAGATTGACATTTGGGTGCCAGAGCCTGAGCAGTCTGAGATTCCTGCTGACTGGTGGGATGCAGATGCTGACAAGTCGCTGCTCATTGGTGTCTTCAAGCACGGTGAGTGACGCAGCTTCGGAAAATAGCTGTAAGACTTGAGGTAGTTATTACACCGACAGCTGTAATCTTGAGGAAGTTTCCAAATGTGTGTAAGGAATAAAATAATCGCCAAGCGGTCTGAAACCGAAACATGCACATAATTCACATGAAAATAATACATTTATTTCCATAAGACTCGATATTTTAACTGCTGATGTATTGGTTTGAAAAGAATTTGCAAACACAGCGGTGAGAAAGCAGGTTATGTTAATTTAGCAAAATTGTGCACCACATGTTCTATCAAGATAAGCAGATAAGTACTGATTTACAGTTGCATTGATTCATAAAGATGTTATAGACGTATTATCAGGTGATTGACAGACTCAGACATATATACATATGTATAAATATATTCACTCAGCCAGCACAGTTTATTTACAGGAATGATGTGTGTGATGTAATTTTGGTTTGCATTTATTCAAACTGCTTCTTCTAGGGAATATATTTAAATGCTTATAATAATAATACTAATCCTTGCATTTGATTTAGTGCCTTATCACGTCTTCGAGCTGTTTCAAAACGCCTCACAGAATATTCTGTAAAGTGAATTTTGTGGGCGAAATAATTTAAAAATTAGAATCAAAGTTAGTTATGGAAGTTAAATACACAATGGCAACATTTTCCTGGAACTTCAGTACCAAATCCTCAGATGTTTTAGGTGTGAAATGTAGTGGCATTTGCCTGCTCATGTCGTAAATTAGCACGGAGATTAAATAACAAACCCTAAGGTGTAAGCAATGCACAGACAGATTTCCTGAGTGAATTAACTGTTTTAGTTACCTTTTGTGTAAAAAATCATATTACTATAGTTCAGACTCCCTAATAGATCTTTGCTGTTTGTAATTCACAGGTTACGAAAAGTATAACACTATGCGCAATGACCCAGCACTGTGTTTCCTGGAAAGGGTTGGCAAACCTGATGAGAAAGCAATTGCAGCAGAACAAAGGGGGAACGATACCTTTGCAGACGGTGCAGAGGGGTATGGATGTTCTTGGTCAGCATGCTGAAGTAGTAGTTGAAATTATTTGAAAACAAATGCTTGCGTCTCCTTCCATGAGCTCACAAGTTTGAGTTTCAAGGCTGCCGGTCACTGAGACTTGCTTTGCCTCAGTTGGGTGAGTTTGATCAGTGATTAGCTGAGAAGTGCCACCCAGAAATAAGGTGTCCTATGTACTTGCGAGACTGGCACCACGTCTCTTGACGGCTGATAATGGAATAAAATTAACAGCGTTGGACGAGCTGTGAGCCAGATCGTTCTGCCCTTCTGGGTGAAGGTTGACGCATGACTTCAAAGGAGGGAAGATTTTATTTAAGAAAAATAGGACCAGCTTTCATCTTGTGTTCTTTTTCCTATCTTTGGAGTAATTGGGCCAATACTGCATACATACCATTATAATTTGTTGCAACAATCTTTTTAAGTGTTTTTCTTTTTAAAAAGTTTCATTGACTAAATTGTAATGTTTACTTCTCATGTGTGGGTTTTCCAACAGGGATGGTGAAGATCCAGAATATAAGCCAGCACAGCCATTATTCAAGGATGAAATGGAGGTGTGCAGATGACAAATTTATTCAAACATAATGCTACTTTTACTCCTAAAAACAAGGGAATAAAAAGCTTAAACAGGTTTTACTATCGAAACTTATCGTTCTGGGTAATAATAAATTTAACAGTTCAACAGATTGTTAATCGACTAAAATCCGATTTACCTTTGGCACAGCTTGATAATTTGTGCGCGTTTACAACTTTATCAGTTTGACTGAAACTGTTAAAAACCAGCTCGGAATGATTACTTTGGAATGTTTTGTTTGTTTTAGGATGCTGCATCATCTCCTGGGGATTTAATGATTACAGGTGGGAATTGACGATTTTCTATACAATGCTAATAATGCTTTCACGTTGGGAGGATGTCTCAGAGCACTTCAGAGAATATAGTGTAAAGCGATGTGCATGTTTGTCGGCAAATGCGTATTGTGTGTGAACATGGTCTGCGAAGTATGTTCTGTAAATGTTACATCTAGATTTTTTTAAGATGTGCACGTGGCTTTATTGGTTTGTAATCGTTTCCCCTTCTCCCATTTAATGCTTCTGGATAAATATCCTTGGCTTTTCGCCTTAGACGATCCTTTGGGGAATGGTGATCTGCTCTACTGGCCGCTTCCGTCTGCTTTAACAACACGTCTGCGCCGGCTCGTAACCGCGTATCAGCGCAGCACCAAGCAAGAACTGGTCAAACAGGAAGCCCAAACCAAAGGGGACAAGAGAAGGCGACTGTGCGAGGACACTGTTAAAGCGAAGGAAGCTGCTAAGATTGAGAAACAGCAAAGGTTGGTGAAAGAAAGGGCTGCAGTAACAAAGGGCCTGACCACAGAATATTGGCTTAGTCATTTGATATAACATCAGGTCAATCGACACTTAAGCGTTTTTGTTTTATATCAAACCATGGTTGGGGCTGAGGGAGCTGGTCACTGTTGTCACATATTAACAGGTGGCTCAGTGCTACTAGTGAGAGGGAAAATCCGTCATAGTTTTTGATTACTATCCATTCATGCCTAATGAAGTTTCACGTGTGTCGACGGGCTGCCTACAAATAGCGAGGTACTGATTATGAGTGACTTAATCCTTCACTCTTTTACCAGGTGGACCAGACGAGAAGAGGCTGACTTTTATAGAGTGGTGTCCACTTTTGGTGTCGTTTATGATCCAGACAAGCAGACATTTGACTGGACCAAATTCCGAGCTATTGCAAGGCTAAATAAGAAGACAGATGAGAGTCTGCAAAAGTACCTTTATGCTTTCACTGCCATGTGTAGACGAGTCTGCCGTTTACCACCAAAAGAGAAAGAAGGTATAGATAAAATATGAATGATTGCTCTTTACTCCCGACGTTGAAAGGTGCTATACAAATGTAATCTTGTTGCTTACAACAAATAAGGAGTAAACGTCCTTATTTAAAAAAAAATTCAGATCCTGCAGGAGGAAGAAAGGACAGAGCAAGAGTAATATAAAACTTTTGAGACGTCTCAAAGACGTGATAAGGCACTATATCAAATGCAAGGATTATTATTGTATAAGAACTTTCTTGTGTTGAAAATTTATGATGAGCGGATTGAAATTATAAAGCATAGGTTCAGCAAAAAATTATCAAACTGTCTTGAGACGTCTCGAAGGCGTGACAAGGCGTTATTTCAAATGCAAGTGTTACTATTATTGACCTTGGTTCAATTCAGTGTTGCGATTGCGGTATTGAACATTTGTTAGCTGGCAGCTGTTGGAAACGTTTGCACAAAGAGTAGAACTTGCAGAAAATAATTTCTTCCCCATTCTTTTCATTCTTTAGAACTTTTCGACCCACCTATTTTCATACAACCTATTACAGAGGAACGTGCCTCTCGGACATTGTATCGCATTGAGCTGCTCAGGAAAGTGCGAGAGCAAGTGCTTCGCCATACACAACTTGATGAGAGGATAAAACTTTGCCAGCCTAGCCCAGACCTGCCTGAATGGTGGGAGAACGGAAAGCACGATAAGGAATTGCTCACTGGAGCAGCCAAGCATGGCATCAGCAAGACAGATTATCATATTTTCTGTGATCCAGAGCTTTCATTCATGTTGGCTCAAAGGAATTTCAGCCAGAGCAGAGTTACCCAGTCAAGGAGCTCCACACCACTCCTGCACCATCAGTACCAGTCATTGCCGTCGCCTCTTCAGGTGCAGCTCAAGCAACAGGAGAAGAAAAGCCACTGTGAGCCTGAAACTGTAAAATGTGAGAAAGCGGCCGACGTGAAAAAGGAGCCGCGTTCGTCCGATGACGAAGAGCCCGTGCGAGCTGAAGTCAAAAGCAAATTGAAATCCGATCACTGGAGTGCCTCAGACGGCTTTCAAGTCCATCACAAATTAGACCCGAAGACTGGGATTAAAATGGAAACCGATTTGGACGGCCACATGGTTGCAGCAAGGACTCAGCCACTTACACCAAACTCTGTGTTCAACAAACGGAAACACAAGCGGCGAGGCTCAGATCCCAGCTCGGATTCAGACTCTGATTCAGACAACTCGTCAACTTCGTCACCTTCCTCATCATCTTCTTCATCGCGGTCATCGAACTCTTCATCTTCTTCATCTTCCTCCTCGTCCTCATCCTCCTCTTCCTCTTCCTCCTCCTCGTCCTCTTCATCATCGTCCTCGTCATCTTCCTCGTCCTCGTCTGATGACAGTGATAGCGACAGCAATGATAAACACACCAAGGCAAGCTGTAAGTACATCCTGTGAAGTGTGACCTTGTTAATTAAGCCAGTTATTTGTGTGAAATCATCCAATGGTAAAAAGGATTTTTGCAGCAGCTAAAGAATGACTTATTAACAGACAGTCCTTCCAAAAATGGCATTGCCAATATAAATGGATCTTCAGAAGTTCAAATGATTGCATCTAGTCATTGTAAAGTACTTTAGCACCGTACCATTGAGGACAAGAAATTCCTCCCGAGTGCAGTAACTTTCGATGACATGCATTTGTAACAGGAAAGCTCTATTGCAAATGTGTTGAGTACATTTAAGAGCGAGAGGAATTTCGCAACTGCTGATATTCGAATCCATTATGACAATAGGGATAGTGAGAACTGTCTGTAAATACTAATATAACTTAAGATCAATTGTGTCTTTTTAAAAGGCAAAGCACCACAGCACTTGAAGACCTTTGACGAAGATAGTGTAGCATCTCTCAGTATCACGCACGATGAGACACAGGACAGCTTTCTGCCAGACGGTGGAAAACCTGACATTCAGTTTTTGCAAGAAAGACACAGGTTTGCTGCCTCCTGCTGGCCAAAGGTAGGCATCAAGATTAATGACCACATTTTGGTCTATTTAGTGTTCTGCAGCAAATTGACAAGTGTCGCTGATCATCATAATTTACTCAGGAAAAGCATGGTATAATGTTTCTTGTTTCATGTTTCCAGTTGGGAGTACTAATCATGTTTCAGAAAGTTATGTATTCAAACTACTTGACGGAGTTTGCAAGCAATTTCTAAGGCTGTTTGTTTTTGTTTTACACATAGGATCGAGTAATAATCAACAGAATTGATAGCATATGCCACTTAGTGCTGAAAGGGCACTGGATTCCATCAAGAAGAAGTTATGATTACAACGCTGTGACCTCCTCTTATACAACAAAATTACTCGATAGCCCTTCAGCCACAGGAGATTTCAGTGACACCGCGATTGTAACATCAGGAAGCCATAGTATTAAAGAAGATAATTCTCTTTTGTCGCAGTTCACAAAGGTGAAGAAGCATGTGCGAGAAAAGGAGTTTACAGTGAAAATCAATGACGTATGTTCATCTTTATTACTGTTGGATCTGAGTCTAATTGCAGATCTTTGCAGTGTGCAGCATGCTTCTCTGCATCTGGCTGCCAGCAGCGTTTTCACTCTGAACTACTTCCTTCGCACACTTTATATACGTTACTCCTTTGTGCTTTAAAACATTCTAAAGTACGTGTGTATCAGAACGTGAGCTGTATTGTAATGCACAACATTTACAATTCTTTATTTCTGCTTTTCCCTTTGGCAATTCTCAAGGCTTTCGTGGCAGCAGTGCTTTCCTAATGCTTTGCATTTTGTGATTTCCAACTGTGTTGCAGGCCTTTGAACTTTGGATCCCTATCTAATATAACATAAACGTATCTCCTATTGAGTGAAGGTTGTTGGCACAGCATGCTCCAATATTTGTTGCAATAACTACAGAAGGTAGTTATTGCAACAGGTAGGATGGTCCTTGCTGCATAAGCAGTGGGAAGCTTACCAGTCATCAGTAACATCAGATGCCTCTTGTGTTCACCAACAATTGTAGGATGAAGGGACATTTAATTCTTTTAATATGACAAAATCTGCCAGACAAATTATTAATATTTTTTAAAGCATATTTAATGACGAAAAAGGGAATTCCGTTTTAAATGCATTTTTGAATTTCCTTCAAATGAATGCATTCTTGTATGCTTATTTTCAAAAGTGAGAATGATAGGAATACGTTGAGATGTCTGATTGGTAAATCAGCAAATGCTTTCCTCCCCCCAAAAAATCACCCATCTCTTATTTTTAGCAGCTCATATATTTTCTGCCTTACTTGGTAAGAAGTTATATCTTCATACACTTGGTCCTTTTTGGGAAAAAAATTGTTCTCACTGGAAGAAGGTGTGTTGGTGCCATAAAAACATCCAGAAGCACAAACTTCATCTCAAGAATCTTTAGAAATAGTTAATCAATTTTTTTCCCCCCTCCCAGCCTGTGTTGATAATTAGGTAGGCCATGAGCTATACTCACTCCGTCAACATTAAGTGGTCAGATAAATAATTTCGTAACTTCGAAACTTTAACCCAATATAGTTTGTAATCTCTTCTCATTGAACTTCAATTGCCTGTTTAAAAACATACATAGTGATATGGTATATAAGTAGATTGGCATGCGGTAGTATGGAGACGCGATCCAATTGGCTAAAGCCAATGGTTCCCCACTATCTTAAGTTTTCTGCACAGTTTGTTCTCAGTATCAGCCAAACCATCAGAGGGGAGGCACAGAGCATAAATGAATCCCCACAGAGATGGAGGATGGGTCGATCTAAGGAGCTCTCAAGCACTTTTCCATCCTAGTATGTGATTACAAAGCTGTGTTGGCAGAGGGACATCTTCAGAGCTTCCAAGCCACCTGTAGCACATGGCAAGGGGAACCTAAATAAGGAGAGCAATAATTGTAAATATAAATAAATAAAAGAGTGTACTGTAGGTTAATCAGCGTCTGAAAGAGAAGATGAGGATTGAAGGTTAACATTTCACCTGTTACTCTTCATTAGAAGTGTGATAAGACTTCCAACCTGCCTTTGCTCTTTTAAATACCGTTCAGATCCAGCATTTTCAGCTTTTGTTTACGATTGCACGTAAACGTTTGTAGTTTTTCTTTTTTTTCTTCTCCGTCTTAGGGATGTTTGCAGCGAACAACAAATTATCATCTCACCGTATAGTACTTCAGATTTTCATATAATAATAATAATCCTTGCATTTGATATAGTGCCTTATCACATCTTCGAGACATCTTAGAGTGCTTCACTGAATATACTGTGAAGCTATTCATATTGTCTTACTGGCATTTTATGGGGAATAACAAGCAGGCAATAACAGGAGCCCCAGATAATAGACTTTCTATTTACAGTGACTCTCCCATGGCTGTTTATATTTTCTCTCTTCTCAACACATGCAGACTGTGTTTATATCGGTGTCCAAATCTGCCCTCTGTACCTCCTTTGTGCTGAGGGAATGAGAGGTTTCTGCATGCACTGATCGCTTCTCTGCTCCAGTGTGCGACAGGTTTGGCAGTCTAAAGGAAAACCATAATGGTCGTAATCATCAGTGTAAAGCAGTTTCAAATGTGAAAATCTAATTGTGTGGACTTGAACAATTTTGAACATCAAAAAATTAACAGCTCGGTACAAACATTTTTTTCCTGTGTATTATTTAGAAGGTGAACCCAGACGTAGCATTCTTCTCTCTATAAATATTCTTTAAAATAATTTTATCCTACTTTGAAAATGTATGTAATAATAAATATCATCAGTTTTAAGTGCAGATTTTAAAGTTACAAATGACACTTTCATATTTTGCCTAAACATGTTTCCAGTCGATAACGCTAAATTCAAGCAAGTAAATGCTTAAGCTAGCAGCAGTAGCAAATCACTTTTCTGTGGAAAGCAGTTTTTAATATTAGCATTTGTTTTAATAGGAAGGTGGATTGAAGTTAACTTTTCAGAAGCAAAGGCTCACTCAGAAGAGAGCACTTGAAACAGAAGAAGGAACTTCAGATCAGCAGCATTACATGGCACAGCTGCATGATTTGTATTCTACTTCTGATAACAGCCAGGAGATGGCTGTAGACCTTTCCAAATCTTTGCTGGTAGCCAGCAGCTCTGCTCCTCTCTCCTCCTCAGTGTTATTCAATGCTAACTTATCTGGTAACACCCCTGGGCCAATTCCTCATCCTAAATCAGCAGGTACTTCTCATCAGATATCCAGACACTGCACAAATGGAGCATTCATGGATGGCCAGCCAATAATTAAGAAGAAAAGAGGAAGGAAAAAGAACGTGGAAGGCATAGACATTCTTTTTATGAATCGCAATAAAGCACTTCAACATGTAAGTTTGCATATATTTTTCTATTGCAGTGTTGTTTTTTTATATTTAAAAAAAAGTCAGAGGTGAGGAAAAAGATCAAGGAGATTCTGCAGTTTCCCTGTTTTACCGTCAAACCCTGAATGAAAAGAATTGGATTTTTCTCAGTGGTCAACTGGCCTGGATCCATTCTGGTATTGGATCTCCCATAGCCTCCGCAGCAAGGGGCACTGAATTGAATGAAAACGCAGAACATCAGCCACAAGTCAATGGAGGGACATATTCGCTGGTGCACTTAAACGCTTCCATGAAGCTTACTTCATGAGTCCGTTCTGGGGGTTCAATTCTTGTGAAGATAAAATGTGTTCTTCAAATTCTGCCGCAATGCTATTCTTCAATCACTTGGTTCGTGGTCCCTTGTCACACCTGTTAGCAAAAGATGATAATCCTTGATTTGATACAGTGCTTTATCACGTCTCTTGACATGACTTGACTATATTTTTTAGGAGAAACGCGGCAGCCAATTGTGCACAGCAGTGTATATACTATGTAGGAGTATAATTTCAAACGTTCAGAATAACTACTAAAATAGACGTGCCTTTAGTTATCATTATTCTAGATTAATGTGACTTTCTTGTTGTCGCCCCAGGATACGATGAATGCATGATTCCTAACGCATTTTCCCTGTGCTGTATTTTACAGAACTTTGTACAGTGCATGTTGCTCTAAGCTGCATTTGTACAGTTTAAACCTCTGACTTTTATTTCAGAAAACAGATAGATCTGAGATTTTGGGGGAACGACCAAAGCAAAAAAGGCATCGGTGCCGAAATCCTAACAAAATAGATGTGAAAAGCCTGACTGGAGAAGAAAGAGTGCCAGTTATAAACAGAAGAAATGCCAAAAAGGTAAAGCTTTGCTAATTTGCAGGGAGTATGACTGGCTAACAAGTTCAGTGTTTCAACTGTATGAAAATCTAAACTGATGGTACTTGGTTTGTTTGACAATTATCAGTACTTCTCTCTTATTATAAGAGATTCGGATGGAGACGACCTGTATGATTGTGTAATAATCCAAAGTTTATTAAGTAATACAAGTAGCTTAACGTATTCTTAAAACTGAGACCATAGATACAGTAGAATCAATATAGATTCCACTGCAAAGTGTGCTGATCCTCTACGACAACTCCAACTGTTCCAAAGTTGCATCTTTTATGTGTTTCTAACTCCACCTCCCGTTGTCACAGAGATAGCCCCCACCCTTCACAGGCTACTAGCAATCTTGGCAGGCTCTTTTCGCTTGGGAAAATAACTGAAAAGGAGAAAGAGATATGGACAGCTAATTGGGAGGATTCTGACATCTTCCTGTTTCTTAGTCTTGAGAGAAGCAGATGTCCATGAGTGAGTTTCTACCTCTGAGCTCCCTTGTTTTCACATCTGTGCTCAATTCTTAAATGGGAGGATGACATCCACTCAGATACTGGACGAGGGAAAGTTATCAGAACCTGACCTCAACCGGGGTCAAGACAATATATCTTTACCTTAGCTAACGCTAATTGGCTGGTACATGTTCCCTCTCAGGGGCCCTGAGTGAATCATTGAAAACACACAGCCTTGTCCTGCCCCAATAACTAAGGAATGCTATACTAAAAAGATTATAAGTGTTTGGTTATATTTTAAAGGTATACTAATTAAAAACCTCAAAAACAGTAAGCTTCACAAATATAATCTTACATCTCTTTCCCCCCACCCCTCACAAACACATACACAAAATATTTATTTGGCTCATTTACAACCTGTTATGTGTTTCCAATTGTTAATCGGTTAATCAGGGTGTTCAGATAAGCTACTGGAGTTACTGATATAAAGCTCGCAACTGAGTTTTAAATAGCCTTGTACTTCTGCACTTTATGACCATCTCATTTATGCTTAATCTTCCATGTAGCTTATCCATGTAGTGCAGTAATTAATATCTTCCCTTGTTGGAGTAAATTTTTCGGTAATTGCCTTTTGGGGGGGAATTAAAGCACATTTCAAAAAAGGATCTTAGCAGTTCCCTACGTACAACATTCATAGTAGAACATCCTGCAATTTTTACAATTTTATTACTAGAAGTTTTAAAGGAGGCAGTCTTGGTCTCGTTTCAAATCTTACCTCTATTGTTGTTTGATGTCGCTTCCTCTCGAAACAATAGAGTGAATTGCCATAGGTGTGAATAGCTGAAACGACTCAACCTGCCAAGTAAATCTGTTAGCCCATGTGGAGTGTCGTTGAGAGTCCTAAGTTCATTCCATGATCTGCCCTTGGGACAGAAAGAGAATTCTATGAAATAATAATAATCCCAGCATTTGATATATTATGTTGTTGAGACGTCTCAAAGCGCTTCACAGAATATACTGTGAAGTGAATGGACTAGATTTTGTGGAATTTAAAAAAAATCAAATGTAGGGAATTGGAATAGGAGATAATTGGAGATGCAGTATATTTTCTGAAAAAGCCTGTTAAACATAATTGTAAAAAATTGAAGCATTTGCTCCCTAAAAATATCCATGCAAGGAACCGAGATATAAAAGATTAGTAGAGCGTATCGTAAAGGTTGAATTTCCTGTGATCTGCAAGGTTTTGTTTAATTTAGGTGGGTGGCTCACTGGCTCCTGCAATCAAAGACCTGGGCAGATGGCTGCAAGAAAATCTGGATTTTGGAATTGCACCAGAATGGGCCGATGTAGTGAAGCAGTCGGTAAGACGTGTGTTTTGATTTTTTTTGATACAAAAGTTTGACAGGTGACATTTCTGCCTTTCGAAAATCTTCTGAGAATTCATTATTTCTCTTAGGTGACAATTGCATTAGTTTGACCACCAAATTAGAGCCTTTTTCTGATTGACACGTGTTTGTGAAACTTTAGACACTGAAAATATATTGTCAGTGAAGTCCTATAAGCAGAACATGTTTTGTTTTTGCTTTGAATTGATTCTGAATTGGTTGATGAGGCTCACAGCCCTTCAATCGTCTGCCAGGTCTCGTCAGCTTCTTCTTGCCCCAGACCACTAATACCTTTAATCGCAAAATTAGAGCTAAAGTTTCTCATTCCCAACTTGCTGTGGATGGTAGAGGATGCATTCACATATTCAAGACTGAGGTGGATAGACACTTGTTAGGTCAAGGTACGAAAGGGATACTGGGTAATGGTGGGTAATTGGAGTTGAGGTGCAGATCAGCCATGATTTTATAGAATGGCAGAACAGGCTCGAGGAGCTGAATATCCTATTCCTGTTTGTATGTTTTACTGCTACCAGTCCTGCTTAATTCATCATCTGTTCTTCCCTCAATGCAGTGGCTGTTTCCAGTCCATTGCTTTGTTAGTTATCTCATTTATGTTGCTGATGTAACGGAGCCTCTGATAGAGAAGGATGAAGAAGAGGTGGGAAATTCAGCAGACTCTCTTACCTACCCCACCTCCACCCCCAAAAAAAACCCCAACAAAGTCCCAGGTTCAAATCACAAATCTTTCTTAATAGTATTATGAAAAACATTTAAATGAAATCTTTACACTTTCAGAATATACACAGTAGGGCTAGAGAAGACTAAATTGCCATTGTGGTGGTTGTAATGACAAGTTGACAGGGCCCCCAAAGGGTTTCCCTATTTGAACAACCTGTTTATTCATACATGAAAGCTGAACAGCAGTGGAAAGAATATACTTTTATCATCGCTTAGAGTGTGTAGTGTGCAACTGGTGAAGTGGTTGACGATGCTGATTTTTTTTCTTCCCCAGGGATACCTGCCAGAAAGCATGTTTGATCGAATCCTCACAGGGCCTGTGGTACGGGAGGAAGTGAGTCGGAGAGGCCGACGTCCAAAAAGTGAACTCACCAAAGCAGCTGCTGTGGCTGCCGCAGCCATGACAGTCAACCCCTTAGTAACTAATGGACTCCTTGCTGGGATGGACCTAACCAGCCTCCAGAGCTTGCAGCAAAACCTTCAGAACCTGCAATCTCTGCAGCTGACAGCGGGGTTGATGGGGTTCCCTGGAGCTCTCCAATCCACCGGCGGTCTCCAATCCACCGCAGGAGACAACAAAACTCTGGCTTCAATGTTTCCGATGATGCTTTCTAATATGACGGGGTTGCCCAACCTGTTTGGCATGGGAGGCTTATTAAATAAACCTTCAGACACTGGTCATGGGGATAAAAAGGGAAGCGGAAACACAGACTTCAAGCCAACAGATGGGACAAATGAAAGGACAGAAAAGCAAAATGTGGACAGTTGTTGTGAAATCTCTGTGTCGAGCTGTTCTTCTACTTCCTCTCCTAAGAAGATTACCCCAGCCACAAGTGCTTCTGCATCAGCAGCATCCAGCAATCCTCTTGCTATTAATCCACTGCTGTTGTCCAGCATGCTTTATCCAAGCATACTTCTCCCTCCAGGCCTTAACCTATCTGTCCCAGGTTTTTCTCAGACCAATAGGTTTGACGTACAGACTGATAAGAGTACAGCTGGAACCACGTCGAAGCCTGCCGAAGAGACAGCGGAACAGCAAGAGCGAACAGAGCAGAACACGTCACAGGAAAACAGCGGCGATGATGGATCCGAGAAAGAAGCATCTTTATCCACAAGTGACGATACAACTCATCCAGATGATTCTGATTCCAGTGAAGAAGACTGATGTTGAATTATATTTAAGCTTGCACTGGAATTGTTTCATTGTAAATAGCCCAGTGACGATTTTAAAAAAAAATAAACATTCATTTGTGATTGACTGAAAAGAATTTCAGTATCTATTTAAAGGTACGATGTATTCAATGGTACCTTGCATGTAAAGCTGTTTTGGAAGGCTAGCAAGACAGACCCATGTGTGCTATTGGTGGTAACACACAATGGAGCATCACAGTGCTAGTTGTTAATTTTTTTTTAGGGGATTAATTTTAATTAAAACAAAATGCACCAGGAGAGACGTATATTTAATATATTTGGTGTGAACTAGGAAAAATGAGAATACCTTTATGCATATCGTATTAACTTACTGTATATAGATTCACAACCTCTTTGACACTCATTTCAGTACACAGATCAAACTGCAGGAGACAAAGCAATAACCCAGGCAGCTAATGAATGTCATTGAAACTGTAGAATATACTGTGCATCTGGATAAAACAACATGGCAACAGTCAGAACAGAAATTCACATTTTATTGCTGTCGTGTTGTGAAGCATTGTCGTTTTTTTTAAGATTCAGGTCATTTGGAAGAAAGAAAGCGTTTTCCAATCAGCCACAAAGCAGGCTATTTATTTATTACCTCAGCTGGGCTAATTTAGATGGCTTACAGAAATAGACATCTATAAATGCTTTTTTTTCTTTTTGCAGCTTTTGAAAATGTCATTTAGAGCATTATCGGCATGGACTATTGGAATGAGCGCTTTCACCAAGCATATGTTGTTGCTCTTTCTGCAAGTATTTTTTTTAAAAAAGGGAGGGTCTGTCTCCAATAGGATGTTTAGTATATTCTGCTTGGTCATTCATTTCATTGCGAATGATTAGTCGCTGTTTCAGAGCTAGTCAGTGGATAATAGTGTCCAAAAAGGGTGCTTTGATCCCAAACGTCATTATCTTAACCCATTTGTGAATATAAAAATGGCAGATTGCATTCCTGCCAAAAAATAAATGCAGGAACAACTCTATTGGTCTAATACATGGATACAGAGGGAAATGATGACTTTTATTCTACAGTTTTCAGTGTTTATTTTCATTGCATAGCAGTACATTAGCTCACTGTAGCAAAGGTAAATTATTTTTTTTCGCTGCAATGAAATAATGTTTGGCATGCATCTCATCACCTTACCATAGAACCCATTGCCAACCTCTGTTTCAAAGGGGTTGGGAGCATCCAATGCTAATCAAATGATTCCCCTATTTACCACCAGCACCGTGCACCAATCAATGCCAAAAAGGCAGTTTTACCTCATTTATTGAATACAGCATTTGAACAAAAAACTCTCCTCACATGACAAACTCACCAGAAAAATGGAACAAATAGAATATAGCACTATTGTCAGTGCATTGCAAATGCATTTTACTCTTGAGATTTGCCGGTACAATTCTGTTTATTACAATATTATATACAAGGCAAGGTATCTCTCTCTCTCTCTGCAGTCACTGGTATTTGGAAAAAGGTATCAAAAATTGGGGTTCAAGTATCGGAATCAGACAGTGTTACACGCACAATTAAATGAGCACTAGAAGCAAAGGCTGTTATGCCATTTGCAGTATTGAGAATATATATTGACTTCACAGCTAAAAATGTATTAATTTAAAAACAAGACAACGGTTTACAAAGAGAGGTTTAACATGCAGGCATTTTAAAGCTGTAGTATTCCTTTTTTTGCCTGTCTTTATAGACCAGTGCTCCAAGCCCTCTATTTTCTATACATTGTTCTCCTGCCAAGAGTGTAACTGATTTCCTTCGTCTTTGTGCACTTAAATAAGAGCAAATATTTTAAGAAGGGTACGTGCGTTGCAGAACAAAAAGCATTTAATGGAAGCTTGTTGCTTTGGAGTAGATCTATACAGGTTAAAGATCACAGATAGATGAACAATTAATAGATTTAATTGTTCACACTGGTGAAACTAGGGAGTATGAATTGCAGGACTATACACTTAACAAAAATTGGCATTGTGCACTTAAACAGAGCAGGAGTATAAATAGAGAAATTCTAGCTTTTTTAAAAAAAATGCTAGACGCTTGTGTAGATTGTATGTCCTCTCAAGCAGTTAGACAGATGTAAGAATGTACTTTAAAGACTTATGGATAACTGCAACTTTTGTAAGTAATTCCTACAGTACTAGTTTGAAATTCAAGTATTCACAATGAAAGCAATTAGTGGTAGCTTTGAAGGCTGGAATATGTGGATGTGGGATGCTACTTAGATTTTTTTTGATTCAATTTATGTACGCCAGCCAAAAAGGAAATACTGCAGCTTTAAGGAGCAAGCAGGATAAGTAAGAATACTTTAAACTTTTTTTTTGTGTATTCTGTATTGCTGAACTTCATCAGCATTAAACTAATTAATATTTGCTGGTTTCTTTATATACTGAATTGCCCCTTCTGACGGAAATGAAACATTACTGTATATAAATGGGTCCCCCGAGGTCTACTTATAAAGTGTGTATCATCACACTATTAAACTGGTGAGAGCTGACAGGCCAGAACTTTCAGAAATGTATGTAAAAAGCCACATTGTTTCCTTTTGCCTCCAGTTATATTTGATAACCCTTTCCCTTATTTTCACTGTCTCACACTAATAGTGTTCAGATAGTACGACTTTTTGGTGGTCCTGTTTCCAATATTTAAAAAAAAATCCAAGAAGCTAAAGCTATAGGAGGCAACAATGATATATATATAAGATCTATAAGAATTGGTGACTGAAGAAATGCACCAATAAAACTTTGGTCAAAGCGAGTTTAAAACCACGAAACATTACACTAATATATGCTGCCATTAACAGGATCACTGATGATTTGGTGAATTGAATATGTGTATTAGTAGTTATGTAAGACAAGCTTTGGTAGCTGCTCTGACCATGTATTTAATTATGTTGCCGGAAGCTTGGTGATTAAAGTCTGTTTTTATTTTGGACAATTGCAGTACTTGCAGGTTGTATTCTGTGTAGTCTGAATTGGCTTTCTGTAGTACAATGAGTCTTAAGTCATTTGTAATTTATTGAATTACTTTCTATGAAGTTCTATAGAGCAAATGGAAGTTTAATTATTTTTATTAAACCTATTCTTTGACTACCCATGATGTATGTCTGTGCACTCTTATTCTAAATCCCATGTTTAATCTACGAAAACTTAATGTTGGATGGTCTTTCGCTCTTTATTTTTGATCATTGTGGAAGTTTCACAGGGGAGGTCGTATGAGAAGACCTGCAGTAGTCCTAAATGAGAGTAAAACTGTTTTTCAGCACTTAAATACACAAAGACATATTGGACTTTGAGAATATTTTGAACAGCAAACAAAACTAGTATTTTGCTGGTCAGTCCTGAGTTAAAATAATGAACGAGTTTTACTTTTTAAAAATAGAAGTTGCTCAACCTAAAACAAGAGGCGTTCACTCAGTTTTAAAATGACTTTACTGATGCCTGTCACAATTTTCTTTATTATAGAAAACAGAAGAAGTTGTATTACTGTGAAATATATATATATTACCATTTATATATAAATATATATATATATATTTACCATTCCATCACGGTGCTTGTCCAGTGGGATCTGCCTTTGTTGAGGAGTTCGGGCCGATAGATTTGAAGTCCCTTCCAAATGCTGTGTAGGGAGACAAATTATGCTGCAACAACGTCCAGTGGCGCCCCAAAAAAACAGCATTCGCTACTGCTGGCACATAGCAAACTCCCAACACACCAAATTGCGCTCGTATTAGAGAAAACGTTTGATCGTACTATTAAGGAGTCAGAGGTTACAGCACTCGCCTCGCAACCCAGATTTTGGGTTCGATTCCCGAGCAGAGGCGAAATGTTGGGCAAGTTTCCTTACTCCGCACGCCGCTTGTTAATCTAGAAATGAGTGGGAACCCGGCCGATTGGCGGATCGCTTTTCCGGGAGGTAATAATTCCTTTTTTTTGTAAAAAAAAACACGGAGGCGGTCACTTCAACCCACGGCTGTTTGCGGGGACGCTGCTGTGCGCCATCGGCTGCCGCGTTACGCCCATGAAATGTATACGGTCGATTCACTTTTCACTGTATATTCCGTGGAGCGCCTTCGAGACTTCTCTCGGGACGTGATAAGGCGCTGTATGAAGGATTACTATCTGTCTTTAAAAATAAACAGATGCTTTGTGATGATGGCTATCAATAATCAATCAATCAATCAATCCCCTGTGTGGTGGGTGTGGGACTGACGTAGGGTAGGAGGGCGGGGCTGCGTGGTGGGAGGAGGACTGACGTAGGGCAGGAGGGCGGGGCTGCGTGTTGGGTGTGGGACTGACGTAGGGCAGGAGGGCGGGGCTGCGTGTTGGGTGTGGGACTGACGTAGGGCAGGAGGGCGGGGCTGCGTGTTGGGTGTGGGACTGACGTAGGGCAGGAGGGCGGGGCTGCGTGGTGGGCGGAGGACTGACGTGGTGGCGGTGACTGGGCGCTGATTGGTGAGAGCGGGTGATTGGCGGCGGCGCTGGCCAATAGAGGGAGGGAGGAGGCGGAACTCGACGCAGCAAGCAGCCAATGAGCGGCGGGGGCCCGGAGGACCGTGAGCTGTCATTCGGTCGCTTTAAATGGTTCGCGAGCGCGGGCGGCCCTGGGCCCGGCCCCGGTGACCGCACCGGCTTCCAGGGGAGGGGAGGCAGTGTCCCCGCTGCCCCGGGGGGAGCCCCGCCATGACGGGCGAGGGTTGTCGCCGGAGTCGGGAGAGGTTCGAGGAGCTGTGCCAGAAGCTGAACATGGACGAGGCCGCCAAGGACGAGGCTTGGGCCAGTTACCAGAGCATCAGCCAGAACTACACCCTGGAGGTGATCGGGGAGGGGATTGCGGGACTTGGGGACTTCTCCCTGTGTCTGTGTGTGTGTCTGTGTGTGTGTGTGTGTCCCTGTGTGTGTGTGTCCCTGTGTGTGTGTCCCTGTGTGTGTGTCCCTGTGTGTGTGTGTGTGTGTCTGTGTGTGTTTGTGTCCCCCTGTGTGTGTCTGTGTGTATGTGTCTGTCACTCTGTGTGTGTCCCCCTGTGTGTGTGTGTGTGTCCCTGTGTGTGTGTGTGTGTCCCTGTGTGTGTGTGTGTCCCTGTGTGTGTGTGTCCCTGTGTGTGTGTGTGTCCCTGTGTGTGTGTGTGTCCCTGTGTGTGTGTGTCCCTGTGTGTGTGTGTGTCCCCTGTGTGTGTGTGTGTCCCTGTGTGTGTGTGTGTGTCCCCCTGTGTGTGTGTGTGTCCCCCTGTGTGTGTGTGTATGTGTGTGTCCCCCTGTGTGTGTGTGTCCCCCTGTGTGTGTGTGTGTCCCCCTGTGTGTGTGTGTGTGTCCCTGTGTGTGTGTGCGTGTGTCCCCCTGTGTGTGTGTGTGTGTGTGTGTCCCCTTGTGTGTACCTGTCTGTCTCTGGCGGGATGGACCCTGAACTGACATCATGACATCTGCTTCAGTAAATAAACAAGGTCCTGCTGACAGCTCGGGCAGTGCTGTATTACAGGCTGGTGTACAGGCTCGGGCAGTGCTGTATTACAGGCTGGTGTACAGGCTCGGGCAGTGCTGTATTACAGGCTGGTGTACAGGCTCGGGCAGTGCTGTATTACAGGCTGGTGTACAGGCTCGGGCAGTGCTGTATTACAGGCTGGTGTACAGGCTCGGGCAGTGCTGTATTACAGGCTGGTGTACAGGCTCGGGCAGTGCTGTATTACAGGCTGGTGTACAGGCTCGGGCAGTGCTGTATTACAGGCTGGTGTACAGGCTCGGGCAGTGCTGTATTACAGGCTGGTGTACAGGCTCGGGCAGTGCTGTATTACAGGCTGGTGTACAGGCTCGGGCAGTGCTGTATTACAGGCTGGTGTACAGGCTCGGCAGTGCTGTATTACAGGCTGGTGTACAGGCTCGGGCAGTGCTGTATTACAGGCTGGTGTACAGGCTCGGGCAGTGCTGTATTACAGGCTGGTGTACAGGCTTGTAATGCAGCCCCATTCCACATTTGTGGGACACTGCTGTGGGCAATTGACTTTGCAGTATATCCCGGGAAGCGCTTTGAGACATTTCGAAGACGTGAAAAGGTGCTACATCAAATGCAAGGAATATTATTATTAGTAGTAGTAGTAGTAATACGGTGGTTTTCAGACCAATGTTTTTGATAGTTTCAGTGTGCAGCCACCAACGCTTACTGTAGTGGCTGTAATGTGACCTTTCGTAATCTGCGTTACTTCCCCCCCTGTTGCCTTCTCGAGCCAGCCAGGGTACGGGGAGAGACAGGGAGGGAGAGAGAGCTCGCACTTGCCCGCAGTTTAGGCGCTACGGCTCGTGCAATTGCACGGAGCCCCGAGCGGATCCAGTGATAAGATTTACTATCATCGTCTAGTAAAATTGAGAGATTGTGTTTGAAATTATTCGCCAGGTGCAGCGTTCGACACTGCGTCCGGAAGTGGTTGTGTAAGCTCAGATCGTGTTTGATTAAATCCAGGAAGTGGAACAGTTTGCTTGTTATATCGCTTTCATCTCTGTTTTCAAAATGTTTCCATTTCTAGGATAACAGCATGCAAGTCTTTTACAGTCACGAACCCCAATGAAAACAGACTATCTTATTAAATATTGTGGCAAAGCGAAATTTGGATGCATGTTGTTGTGGGATACAGTGTTTGGTTTGTACCTCGGTTTCGCCAACAAAATTGGGAGTCAATCCACTTTACACTGTATCCTGTGAAGCACTTTAAGACGTCATGATGACGTGATAAGGCTCTATATCAAGCGCGAGGATTATTATTTATTATTGTTAGCCGTAGGCTGTTTCCATTCCTTAGTCTTCAGGAAAAACAAAATTTGACTAACTGAAGGATTGACTAACTAAATGAAGGAGTCGAGTGGAGGTAATTAGAGTAATGTGCCTAAAAAGGAAGCTTTAATACATTAGGCTTTGTTTGTTCTTTGTCAGCTGAACAAATTCAACTCTGGTATATGATCACAGACTTGAAGCAGCTGTGGGATATCCCTGTTGACGAACCTGAAAATTGGCATGTTCTGTGGATTTGCGTTCCTGCATTTCCCTAAATGCTCTGATCGGCCTGGCTCAGTTGGTAGCACTCATTCTCTGAGTCCAGGTCAGAACTTTGTTGATACTCCAATGCAATGCTGGATTGTTCTTCGGATGAAATGTTGAACCAAGGTCCTGTCCACCGATTCAGGGAGATGTTGAAAATACCAGGACACAAAGAGAATAGGGTTCCTCCTGGTGTCCGTTAACTTCATCGCTGTTTGTGGGACATTGCTATACACAAATAGGCTGTTGTTTTTGCCCACAAAACACACAGTTGCTACACATTATAGAAAATCCTTCAAAGTGCCTTGAGATTTCCTGATGTCGAAGGTGCGATAACAAATGCAAGATTAATATCTCCAGTTTTAAATTCCCAATTTTTTTATTAGCCTACCGAAATTTATTGTTAAATTATTCTATATATTTTTATTAAAAACAAAAGCTAAATCTCTTAGTCATCATCCTATACAAACAGGATTTTTAATTATTGGTATGCTACAAAAATAATAATCCTTGCATTTGACATAGCGCCTTATCACGTCATTGAGAAGTCTCAAAGCTACTGGTTAATGAGTTAAAAATACTAGTTAATGTTCAAAGAGAGTATTTATCCAAGACCCACTGTACAATCTATCATCTCTATGACTATCTGTTGCTTAAAAATCCAGTGGAAAACCACTGGCTGATTCAGTCTCCATAATTGCAATCGTCCTGGAATTAGTGCGGAGCTGTGACTTCTCTGTGAGAAAGCACTCAAACCTGTGGCATCAATGTCGTCAGTTCAGGTACCCGAGCTGAACAAGACGGTCGGGGAGAACTCATCCACATCCAGGGGACAGAGTTTGTGACAAGTATTGTATAATTTCAGGGAGACGACCTTCACTGGTTGGCCTGTGCCTTGTATGTATCGTGCAGAAAAGCCGTGCCGTCAGTGGGAAGAGGAACTGTAGAGGGGAATTTTGTTTCCTTAACGAAGATCCTGTACTGTGCTGAACTCAGGTAAAGTACAAAAAAAAGTGTGTAATATGACTTTTCTTTCAAACAGTGATTTATTTAAAAATTTGTATCGAAGCTGGGGAGAGACAGGCTAGATAGGATAACTGTAGTCTTATCACACGTCGAGAGATCTTGTTTGCATTTACAATGGAGGATCTGGTGCTGTTTGCGCTTTAATGTTCATAATATGTGTTATTCTAAGTGGAACATTATTTACTACAGTCAAATAAGTTAAAGTGGTCCCTTAAATTTTTAAGAAGTTTTAATTTCCTTTGCAGCGCTTTATATTTTTGAATTCCCATTTTGTGAAAGTCCAGCACTTGCTCGAAACTGGGTGTTTTGGAAGGAAATTCTTAACATCATCCAGGGAAGTGAAGGAAATAAGTATGAAATATTTATGCACCAAGATTTTAAGAACTATAAAACAAAATCGAGTGTTCTACACATTCTGAATTACAACAGCCAATATTGAGCAACAATTACGTTGATCAGTAGTACCCTGAGAAAACTGCCAACTAGCCTCGGAAGCATAATGACAAGTATAATGACAAGAGAAAACTGCAGTTCAAAGTACTGTAATAAGTTGGAGGAAATTTTTTTTTGAATAATGCCTCTCCCTCCCACCCCAGGAGAGATAGTCATGAGCATGAAGTGAATCTTCTCAAGTTTCAATACTATGTTACAAAAAGTATCAGTGTGCAATTGGCAATGTATTGCGATTAAAGGCTGTGGCTAAAATCAGACTTTTATTGCTGTTTGTGATCTTAAAAAACGAAACGAAAATGTGCAGAGATAGAAGATCAAAATGCAAATGCATGGATCAACATTACAGCATAGAGATCGGCCATTTCCAGCCCAGCTAATCTGTGTAGATAGTAATATTAAATGCAAGTCATTTCATTCACTTAACTGAGGGGGAATTAGAAGACTTGCCTAGTTTAATTCCTGTGTGTTATTCTTGTCACCAGAGATCACATTCCCACACTAAGAGAGAGAGAGATTTCAGGCATTACATGATTAGTACATTAGTTTTTGGGGAGAAGCTCACCTTTTAAGCTAAATTTGAAAGAGAAGAATAGTAAAGCATTCGTGTCTGACAAATTTAGAGAGAAATGTGGAAAGGACTATTTATAGTGAGGCTTATCTCTTGCGAGTGTAATCTTTCCTGTTCAGTTCTCGGAGATGCTAGCCCACATGAAGGGTGCTATATACACTAAATGCAAGATGTTTCAGTGCTGTGACTTAAGGAACTGAGCAACTGCTAAACACACTTGTTTCTTTTTTGTGTACCAGTTTGATTGCATTTTTCAATAAAATGCAGAAATGGGCAGATATGGCGAATCTGCCGCAGGAATTCCGAGAGCGTACTGAGAAGCTAGAGAGGAACTTTGCGGTCTCTGCTGTCATCTTCAAGAAATACGAACCTATTTTTCGACACCTTTTTAAGGACCCACAAGAAGAACCACCACCACGGCAGCAAAGAGGCCGTAAACAGAGGTGAGATCTGAATTCAGCAATTGTGGGGTGTGGTGGGAATGAAGTCTAAACTATAAAGTAACTTATAATCCTTACATTTCATATAGCGCCTTATCACATCATTGAGACGTCTCAAAGTGCTTCACAGAATATACTGTAAAGTGAATTGAATTGACTGTATATTTTGTGGATGAAACTTTAGAAAATTGAAGTTCAGTTACTTGCTCTGCTTCATTTACAAAACTTTCCTCTGGTTAATTGACGCTTCCTTTTTACAAATTGAATTATTCCTTTTTCTGTTTTTTTTGTTAAGATGAGTAAATGAGGGTTGGTACAAGCTGAAGAGATGAAACTCTGACATGAAATCCCACAAGAAATAAAAATAAAAAAATAAAATAAAAAAAAATACACAATCAGTGAAAGGGAATCGTGGCCATTGGAGTTTCTGAATAGAACACACAGTAGAGAAACTCATAATGAAACTGTGTATCAGTATTAGTTAGTTTGCCAACAAAACAAAGTCACTACAGTCCATTCTGCTTTGGGACACAGCCTCCTGACATCAAGGATGGTATAGCTAATGCAAGGAGTATTGTCAATAGCTACAAAACTATGACAGGTATTTGGGAAATAATAACTTTCAAAAAGTGCAATGGATGTCTTAAAGAGAGGGCCAATTAAACATTTTTTCCAAATTGTGGATTTATTCCAATGTGCTTTTTTAAAAAAAAGTAAATTATTAGGTTAATAGGATGATGAAAGAAGGTAATTAAGTATGCCTAGTTTTGTTTGAAAAACATAAAATAACAAATGAGGAGAAATTTTAAATCTTTCATTCATCTTTCAATTTATATTTACGGGAAGACATAAGCCAACCCATCCCCAGTGCTGCAAAGCACTTCATAAAAAGTATTTTAACAGCAGGAGGATATGAATTGCAAATGTAGCTTATAATAAAATATTATGTTCAGGCATTCTTAATAAAGTGTAGATCCATGGTCATAAATAGTTGTGAAAACTCTCAAAAACTTTGGATGTTCTTTGTGCCCATATTAATAACAAGGACTTTTTGTTCTCACTGCTTCACGCTACATTTAACAAAACTTGTGAAGTCTTTAGTCAGAAATGTACAGTTTATTTGGAGAGGTCTTTAACCAAAAGTGAATTCTCGTTGTGATTTGTTTAGAAAACCGTGCTCGTTTATCATGTAGTGAATTGTACAGCCTGCTGATTGTAAGATGTTTCTTTTGCTTCCCTCTGTAGACGGCAACCTTGTACAGTCTCTGAAGTGTTTAACTTCTGTTGGGTGTTGTTTGTACAGACCAAAGGTAAGTTATTAACCCATCATGAGCCACTTGCAGATGACCTGATGTCAACCTCCAGCAGAAAATTATTAAATTTGATAAGAATAGCAGATTATTTTGTCATCACAGTTTACGTTAAACATTTATTGGTGAATCATTTTGGCCTTACTGTGACAGCGTCTACAACTCTACACCAGCCAGTGATTAAACTTCAGGTTTTTATTGCGTCTGTGTAATATGTTTTTTTTCCTTAGGTAATCAATGAATTAGATATGTCCACATGAAATAAATAGTCTTTCCTTTGATGTAATGCCTTTCAAGTCAGGAGGACATCTCACAGGTTTTGATGTGAAATGTGTTAACGATATTTTACAGCCAAACAAACCTTAATATTATTTTTACTGAATTATGTGAGAGTATTTTAACTTTAACTCCAAGGTTAAAATACTTGGACCCTGTTTGGTTGGGCACCTTTGCTTCAAGTAAAACAAATTTATTACAAGTTGCCTACCTTGTGATAATTAAATACATTTATATTGTTATTGTAAAATGTTTTGGCTTTGGATTACAACTAAATTGAATTTTCCAAAGAAAACACGAAACATTTCCTTGAATGTCTGTAAATCATTTTGTGGCATATTTATTGATGGTTACTTAATGCTATGTTTGTTTAGGGAGCAGAGGCTAATGAATGAAGATCATTGTTAATTTGTATTGAGAGTTTTGAGCTTGTGTTTGTGGTGGTTTAAACCCATGGAATTTTGTAAGTGAAATCCTAACCTACTCTGTTCCTTCTCGCATAATGCATCGCGTCCATGAGGTTCCTCCCAAGTTATTTAATGCTTTCAATCAATGTAACTTATCGTAAAAGCGGTGAAGGTTGCCATTTACTGAGGTAGCCAATAATAATAATCCTTGCATTTGATATAGCGCTTTTCATGTCTTCTGGACGTCTCAAAGCGCTTCACAGAATAGACTGTAAAGTGAATTGTATATCTGATGGTGAAATCCGTCAAGAATGCAGTTTAGCTGTTTTGAGGGGCTGCTGTGAAGATCAGCATCCTACTCTTTCATATACTGTAACCTGACCAGAATAGTTTAATATGACGTACCTGAGAGGGAAAAAAAAGTACATTGTTTGAACTTGTCCCGTCTGAGTCCAGCACCTCAAATGCCATGTTATATTTTAATGCCGGAAGCCATTTAGTCAGCGCCAGCAGATGTACTGTGTTTTGCATGGGTCCATAGGACACCAGTGCTGTAAGTGAGGCTGCTTACTGCGAGATGCTGCCCCGGCGTGAAGGGCGCTATGCAAATACAAGTTCTTCTTGTTGGTTATGGGAGCAGGGTAAATCCCCCCCGGCTCACTAAATAAATTTTTTAGAAGTAGTTACTCAGTTAATAAAAAGGCGGAGAGTTTATTTTGGTGTTTAATTTGCTTTCGCAGCGATTGCTATCCTATTTTCCGAACTTTGCAGAAATCTGTAGGGTGAAGTGTGAAGGTCGTAAATACCAGCACGGATATGACTGATTTATATATACTTTACATAATTTAAAAAGAACAGTTGGTAAACTGACTGAAAATTTGTATCTCTTTCACTACGAGGACCAGTTTATTTCTCATCTTTTCACTGTCTTGTTATCCACCCAGTTACCCAATTGCTCTTCTTGAACAATTTGAGAATAAGTATCACGGAAGTTGGTGTAGAGTGATGTGATATGATGTAAATTGACAACCCATTGAATTGCATTGTATTTCAGACAGGAGCTGGCTACAGGGCACTGATCAAAATAACATATTAAGACGTTTCTTTGTCTGTCAGGCTCTGCTGAGTATTTTCGCAAATTCTGGCCAGAAACCAAAAACTAGGTCTTGGTTCCTGTGAAGATAAATTGTTCACACCGTCACCGATGGAGAGTGTTTGCCTTACGCTTGCTCCCTCTGCCCCAGTGTGTCTGCTTCACTCTTTTCCCCAGATTTAAATGGATGAAAAAGGCCTCTGTGGGATTTAAACTAAAAGTGTGAGACCGATCTAGGGCTTAATACAGTACTTACCCCTTTGCAGTTGTATTTTTTTTAAAAAAGTTCTTAAAGGAAAAGGAGCATTGCGTTTCAGGCTGGCAGATCAGAGTTCTAAACATGCACCGCAGGGTGTTTATTTATTTAGCACTGTAATAAGGATACCTGCTGCTGAAGACTTGATACCTTATCCATGACGATCCATCTGGTTTCTCTGCAGTAAACTCACTTGGAAAATTGTTTGCCATCCCATCAGCATGGTTACAGGGATTAGAATGTCACACTTTTGTTGACTTTGGATAGGGAGTCTGGTTTCAGCTGAAAATGTAGCTGAAGACTTAATTGTACAATGACATTTCGTTACCATTTGCCAGGCTCTTTTCTTTAGCATCAACAGACTCCAGCTGGGTCTCTTAGAGCTTGGTCACGCTGTAACTGGGATGGACTCGGCAGTCAGCGCTGATTGTATTGACAGAGATTTGTGTCGACTTGTACAGGCTTGTCTGCTCCCTATTTCGGCTTCAGCCAGTCGTAATCTTCAGTGAAAGCTTGAGCTATTCCTTTCTTTAACTTTTTTTTTCCGCTTCACGATTGATTTGCAAAAGCTTTCCAAGTTTTTTTTTGGCCGTAGAGGAGTGCCGGAGCTCCAGTATTCAAGTTCATTATGTTAACATCCTGCAGAGAATGTAAAAGCCTCCTGCAGCTCTCAATGCTGAGGTAAGGAAGCTTGTTAGAAACAGTCTACATAAGTGCAGATCAAGTATTAAAAGATAAATTACTGCACAGTACCAATTTGTGCCTAATTACTGATTGATGATGAAAATAATTATAATCCTGGCACCTTATCATGTCGTTGAGACGTCACAAAGCATTTTGACGAATATATTGTGAAGTGGATTGACTGTGTATTTTGTGAGTGAAGTGATTCACAACTCCTTCTGATTGAAAGGGGTTCTAAAGAACTCTTGTGGTGATGTGCATTTTTAGGAAAAGAAAGGGAAAAGGCACGGCTTGAGTGTTTGGCTTGAATTCTTTTTAGAAAAAGTAAAATTAAGTATTTTAAATGTTTACCGATAAAAAGCAAAACAAAGGGCCGGTAAGTTGTATTCTGTTACTTGTATTAAAAACTAAACGCTGGTGTTTGGAAAAGGGGAAGCCATTGTATAGTAAGTCCATGTTTTCACAGTTCTAATTGTACAGACATCACTTTTATCTCTTGACTTTTGAGTAGATTTTGTTACCTCAGTTCTCAACGTGTCTTCATGTTCAATCCAGACTTGTTTGAGCTAAAGCAGATATGATGTGAGCAAATTACAGTGAATAATCCTAAACTCGAAGATAAATATCTTAAACATGCTCAATAAATGGAATCTTGTTGTTGTTGTTGTTGTAAATGTTCTTTCACTTCACCTACAACGCAGAGAAAGTGAGTGGCAGCAGGTTTTGAAATAATTTGCGGAGCACAGAACAGAAAATTTTGGAATAAGAGGATTTCTAGTCAGAGATTTCCTGCTGATTTTAGCAGGAAATTGGATGAATATGATCGCCATCAATTGATGTTTTTTTGTACGAAATCAGAGCGATTGCCAAATCTCCCTATTAAGCATGTGTAAATTATCATGAAAGTCAATGTTTGCGTTTGCAGTACAGCTGTGGAAACATTCACCTCATGGGACCTTTATGTTTTTGAGTCTCAGATATCTTAAGTTTGACCTGAATTAAAATTTAAAACAAACTTCTCAAGGGTTGATAACCTGGTGCTGGGGTGAAGTGAAGAAGCTAATACTCTATCTAAAGATGTTTTAGAAATCCACAACTTAAAATGGATGTTATTTTCAGAGTAAAATACTCCCTTTATATAACAATAATCCTATCTTCATCCCTGCATTTGATACAATGCTTCAAAGTACTTCAGAGTTTTCTGAGCAAAGTGGTAACTATATTTGCAAACAAATAAAACATGCTTTTATAATCTCTCAGCCCCAGTCGAAGAGATTATCATTTTCAAATCTTTGCTGAATTCCTGTGGAAACTTGATGATTAATATGTGGAGCAGCACTTGGCTCTGTCACTCACAAGTTCCTCAGTGAGCATGTCTATTAACAGGGATTAATAATAATAACAGGTCATCCTAGCTTCTTTATGTATTGCGTCAATGGAGCCACTAAATAAATAGTTCAGGGCTGGTGGTTAAGTGATAGAAGAAATGTAAATAAAGGGGAAAGCTTTACATTGGTGGAAGCCGCCGTGCAGTTGTGTTCTCCTTGTAAGTGAATTCTATAAATGTACGTTCTTATCAAATTTGCTTAGATCCTCGTCCACCAAGCATTCCCCCCCAGTTCGCAGGCAGCTCAGAGGGCAGATGCGAGACCAGCTCCCACGCCGCTGCTACATGTTTGCAACAGCTTACATTTCGTGTGGACGTCACAGAGCTTCACGCAGCTAAGCCAGCAACATGGAAGGAAATCTTATGTCAACAAAGGCACCTGAGCAGAGAGCAGAAAAGTCCTACTTTTCCTGCCTGAAATCTCTTGACCTTGTCTCAGCACCTCCCACAGTGCTGTTGTCAAATCGGGGGCGATGCTGCTCTTCAATGTTGTGCAAGTTTTACATTTTAAGATAAAATGGTCTGATAGGCTGAAACGAGATGGAATTTCTGGCCTAAATTTCTTCATCACTTACTGGTGACGAAGGGTTCACAGGGACCAACACGGTCCAATGCTGTGAGTCTAATCGTGGCTTCCTGTTTCTGTACCACCGCCCTTTTCTGCTTCATCATAGCAACACCACAAATATAACAAGTCCAGGCTTGTTTGTAGGATGTGCCCAGTGGCCTATAGCCCAGCAGTGACACCTTTCATTAGAGTGGTTTTGCAGCACATTATTTTGATATCCACCGTCGGCAACATGTAAGTTGGTTGAAAATCGCTTTATTTGCGTCATAGTTCATTGTAAATTATGGTAACTACTGTCCACCTACTATCATCGTGCACAATAATCTAATGATCAAATACTTCAGCTAAATCCAAACGCTATCAGCAATGCAGCTCGCATTTTGATTCTTGTGTCCGTTCAATTAAAACTGGTGTTGTTTCTTGAAACAAAACAAAGGTTGTGCAGCAAGCAACTAATGGAAACGTAATGGACAGATAATTAATTTAGCCTTATCATTTTTGATGAAAATTGTTTAAACTTCAGGTCAAATCACTGTTTCAGAGACAATTTTTCAGATCACTTGTTCATTAAATGAATTGTCAAATTGCTTATAGAATGTGGAATGTAATACTGCATTAACTTACAATGGTGCAAATTTTCTGGAATGAGTGATTTTATTTTAATTATTTTGTTTGAATTGAAACCCAAAGGGGCCTGAGTTCTGCTTTATTATCCTAAGTTGACCCAAGGCGGTCAGGTGGAGGTGTATAAACCTTTATGTTAGTTTTTGAGTCTAGGTATTCAAGTTGCTGTTTCATGTGCTGAGGATCAAAGCACTGCTCAATCGTCTGCAAGTGGGTCATTCAGATTTTTTTTTCTCCCATTGTAAAACAACAGTAACATCCCTGTAGATGTTGTTACAGTATTGATTATTTTACTTGCAAAACTGGTGGAACGTAGTGGGAGGGTTTCTGCTCAACACCATGGAAGGCCTGTGTCTAATGAATGGATGGCACACAGAGCTAGGGGAGTTTAATGTATTCACAGGTAACATGAAGAGATTGATATTGGACAGCAGTGTTTAGCTTTTCAGACTTCACAAAGACTAACCATGTTTATGCTTGCCATACAGTTCATGTTTAAACCATGTTTATACTTGCCATATCCTTGCCACAAAGTGTTTCGGGACACTATATTGTTGTTACAGTTAATCAGATTTTGATATTCAATCATTGTGGTTGACTCATCGATGGATGACCAACTTATTGTCGATTATCTTGGGTTTTTTTGATGCCCTTTGCAGAATAAGCTTATCAATTAAATATCTTCCTAACTCACATTTATAATATTATGTTAAATCTTGCAGCAGGAGGAGAATGAAAGAATTTTTAATGTTAAAAAGCTGTCAAGTTGGTGACAAATTAGAAAATCTTTCATTACAAATTCTTGAAAAAAGGTTTTACAATGCATCTCTTACATTTGTGCACTATTGCCCTTACATTTTTGCATGGTTACCTTACATTTGTGCACTATTGCCCTTAAAGAACCAGATGTTTCTAGCTCTTGGCCTGACGATAATTGCTGAATTGCTGGTTGATGGAGCATGCATTAAGTTATGAAAATCTGTGATTTGTTCTTTGATTCTGTACTTCACTTTCCCCCAGTCACTTGGAGCTTTGAGCATGCTCAATTTCGTAAGGCATCTGTCGTCATTCCAGTCATCTCCAGCTGCATCCTGTTATTCCATAATAAATGTAGTTTTTAAAAAAAACATATAAGCCACAATTCAGTAAGCCAGTCTTTCACTACAGTCCACTTGAAGCAGGCTATTTCATCAAGGCAAATATTATAAGACAGATTTATACCAGAAGAGTGGTCCATTCCATCCTCTTTTTCCCCCTTCAGATGTCACTGCCTGATTAGACTTTGTCTAATGGGTGTTTCGCCCACAAAATATGCAGTAAATTTACAGTATATTCTGTGAAGCGCTTTGGAACGTCTCGAAGACATGATAAAGCTCTATATCAAATGCAAGCATTATAATTATTGTCTAGATTCTTGAACAATTTGAAAATAAATATCATGGACGTTGGCGTAGAGTGATGTGATGTAGATTGACAGCCCATTGAATTGCGTTGTATTGCAGACACGAGCTGGCTGCAGGGCACTGAGCAAAATAACATATTAAGACTTTTTTTGTCAGAATGAAACGTTTTCTTTGCTCCCAGTAGGTGGTAGGTTCACATTGCTAATATGAATTGATAAGCTCATTGACTTAGGAAGGAAATAAAATACCATGTAGCACAAGTACAAAAGTGTTAATGTACATCAATGTCTTATTGGTTCGGTCAAAATTAGCAATTGAAATATACTGTTAACATTTGATAATTGGTGAGAATAGTTTGTTTACGGGGAAGAAATTCGACCTGTGCCTAGATTTACATATTATTTCAGAGCATCCAGAATTTGGTGAATTCTAAAATACTACCTTAATTTTGAATGTTTTTCTGTAGCTTTTAGAACTATGGAAAACCGACTTTGAAATTTGCGAAAATTCTAGACACTCTAAAATTCTGCATAAAAATGATTTTCACCTTTTTGTGGGCAATCAACGTCATCAAAGCAACGGTGCCTCTTTTATTATTATAGGAAATTTCCCCATGATCAGTGATGACCTGGTTAACTCGTACCACCTTCTGCTTTGTGCGTTGGATCTAGTGTTTGGGAACGCACTGCTCTGTTCCAACCGCAGAGACTTGCTGAATGCCACGTTCAAAGGTAGGTCCAAGCTTTTGTGAATCGCAAAGCTGTGATCTTTAGTACAAAGATCTTTATGGCTATTCATGGAGGTGGGTGGGTGGGGGGAAGTGAAGAAATGCTGTTGTCACAAAGCTGCCTATTAACAAATTTATCTGTAATCTCTCTACATCTTCTGTGATATGGTTCCAGAGCTTATGGCAAAACTGCCAAACCTATCTTACCCTCACACATTTATTATATATATATTTCCTATACATATATATATATGTGCACCAGTGATGGCAATCAGGACGTTGAACCTGTCTGATTTTTCTCTTTCATAACCCAGAGTTACTGAAGCCAATTGTCAGCTCCATGTTGTCACTTCCCTGAGGTCAGATAAGAAAAAATGCTTCCTTTTAAATAGGGTCACCCAAGAACATTAAGGAAAATTTCTCCTTTTAATATTTAAGGTAGTGTGCGGTCACATTTAGTTTGTGTTGGGGGTGGGAAGTGTAAATCCATCACTTCCAGCAATATAAAAGTCTAAGGGAAGGCTCTTGTCAGCACTATAGTTCTCCAGTCACATCCCATCTGATCAATTAATATTTTAATTGATTTTACTTATGTATTTTTTAATAATATATATATAAGCTGCAGTTATCCACAGGAGAATTTCAGTGTCCGCAGATATTTAGGATATTTTTCTTGTAATGAAACTCTGGCTGAATATTTGGCACTGTACATTTCTTTAATTCTGATTTAGTTTATTCAAATTAGGATTGAACATAAATTTGTACAGTTCCATTAATAAGTATTTTGAAGCTATATAGACCTTTACACTCAAGAAGGTATTAAACAGTATAAGCAGCTTGTATCACTTTTGTAACCGTTTTGTAGACTGAGTACGATATTCAGACAACGTAGTCTGGCAGTAACATTAATTCTTAAAATGGATTAAGAGGACAAGGTATGGAACACAGGATTTTTCACATAGTAAGTTCCTGTCATCAGGGTCAGGCGTAAATTTCAATAGATGTTTGGATTTTCCTCTCCTGTAGAAAAGACAGACAAAGGCTTCTAGTCTATTATGAACATTCAGATGGAGTACAATAGAGTGGTGATGAGAGCAGCAATTGTGTAATCTGTACTGTTCTCTTCACTTCAGGGCTACCAGAGGACTTTGGCAATAAAGATTATAAACCTCCTTCAGAGCCACCATGTATCATTGACGATTTGTGTTCTTTGCATGATGGATTGGAATTAGAGGCTAAGGGCATTAAGCAGCATTACTGGAAGCCATACATCCGAAAGCTTTTTGAAAGAAAGGTTTGACCAGTGTATTTTATTCTTGGAGGTTATCACCTGCACGTTTCACTGTTTTATCATGATTTGTACAGTTTGTAAATCTATTTTTCAGCTCAGATAATGTATATAATGATCCACACCAGGTATATAATCAGGCTCAGCTATTTGGCACTGGCAGAAAAGGTATATAAATATTAATAACATTATAAATAAAACCTCAATGCAGTTCTATGCACATCCATATTGTTATCCCTTTTTAAACATATCTTACTCTTAGGTAAGGGAAAACATTCTCTCTTTCACCTGCCTAAGGTAGATACCATGCTCTGTTTCCTCCTGAATATTTCCCCATGCAATGGCAGTACAGCTTCCTGTGCATTCTACCAGACCCCACAGAAATATGTGACCTCTCCATGAGAGCATGACTGTGATTGGGAATTTACTGTGGAAACTCAAGGCCGTGAGCCTAAACTCTGTGTAAATTAATTGATTTTAGAGCTGAATACTCCACACGTCTTATCATAATTCAACTGATTATTGTTGTTAAAATACACACTTTAAAAAAAAGCTCATCACAAGATTTTTTCCCAAACATCATCAAGTGCCATCTACACAATTTTAGGGTTTTAAAAGTACAATATTGTTTTGAACAATGGGTAACTTATTTGGCTTGCGGTTTATTTAAGTGCGTATTTATTACTCTGACTGCAGATCTTGAAGGGAAAAGGAGAAACTCTAACTGGTTTTCTGGATCCCGGGAACTTTGGAGACAGTTTGTAAGTCATGCAGCGATCTCCACGCTAGTTTGGATTTCACAATATGTATATGCTTCGTGGATGTTAAAGTATTTTGCCACAAACTTGATTATTTTAAGTAATATGTTCAACAATAGCCGAGGCAATATACTGATCTAACCATTGTTTTTGGGTCAATTAAGTACCATTTGCTGATTCCTTTGGCATTGTTTTTGAATCATTAGTCGACCCTGAATAACAGGATTAGTATCTTTCTACTATTGAAGCACCTGATTTTTTTTTCTCCCTTTCTCTCTCACTGAAATGCCTCACTGGATGGAGTGGGTCAGAATCATCCCTAACCATATCTTGGAGTAATTCCAGTTTGACATGGATTAACAATCTTTTAAATAGATCTGCACAGAGGGTTGGTTTTATTTCAAGATGCCTCTGGTTATTGTTTCCCCCTTCTTGCTTCAGCAAAGCCATTAACAAGGCCTACGAGGAGTATGTGTTAACCGTGGGAAATCTCGATGAAAGGATTTTCCTGGGAGACGATGCAGATGAGGAGATAGGAACCTCACACAGGTGTCTGAGCAGCATGTCCAATACAGAAACCGTCGAAAGGCTGCAGGTCAAGCATAATCTTCAGCACCACTTTCAAAAGGTAAGAGGATGAAAGGACACTGCAAAACATCAAAGGCTACTATTAGTATACACAATGATAGACACACGGTCCATCCAATAGTTTGTATCTGGGAGTTTAAAAGATTTTGTTGCAAATTGCTTTTGCAAACCCAGTATGATCCAGTGTCTGTCTTCAGAGGCGAATAGTTGTAGGGATTAGTCAGTTTTTGTGAAGCAGTGATGGACGCCGAGCCCAGAAATGAACTGAGTGGTAACCGCTAATGAAATCTTAGTGCAGATCTCTGCTCTCTCGCAGGCTGTACTCCCTACAATTGTCATGGAGTGAAAAGTATTTGCTGGGCTGTTAGTTTAGTGCAAAATAATGTTTAATTTGCATTCTGTGCTTGACCCAATGCTGATGTTAGGGAAACGGTTGAAATACAACATGATCATCAGATATATGAATGGGGCAGCCACAGGATTAATAGAATATAAAGTGCCTCATGAAAGTAAAATCTGAACTCTTTTCATTAAATCCTTTGAGATATTTGGATGTGATAAGCTACTATATTAAATTCAGAAATTTATTCCAAATTTTTGTCCTTCTTTCAAGTGAATCTTTAAACCCAGGTACTGATTCAGGCAGGGATCGTGCTAGTATTTCACATAACACTTAGAGATTTTCCAGTTGGCCCAAGACAAATATTCCTCCTCGTCCAAATTCACCCCATGCTGTAAATAGTTGGGATTATAGTATACGAATCATTAATATTGATCATGTAGTGAATAGATGAATTAAGTAGAATGAATGAAAGAAATAAAAACTGCCATATGGCATGCATGTCACTCACTCACACTCACTCACACTCACTCTCACACACACACACACACACATACTCACAATCCGAGTAAAGAGACACCGAGCTAGGCAGGAGTACAACAGCAAGATTACATTTGTGTAGCACCTTTCATGTCGGGAGGCCGTCCCAAGGCGCTGAGTACACTGGAATGCGACCCATGGTCAGGGAAGATAAGGATAGCTGGATCGGGAGGATGGATGGTAGGCCATCTGCGCTTACAAGGGCATGTGACCTACGGGGAGGAGAGATAGGAACCTGGGATAATTGGACCAAGGAATGGATGGGAGGCCAACTGTGTGGGTAGGTATACAAAATTAGCAATTAAAACTGAGGAAAAGCTTGAGATCAGCAGGTCACATGGACAGAGTCAGAAAGGAGCACAATGAATTACTGAAAGAAGTAATGAGAAGAAAGGAGATGGCTGGCAAAAAAGGGTATAAAAAACGGTAGCCAAAACTTAGAAGTATTTGAGCCTCTTGAGGAGAGGAAGGGGACGAGAGGAAGGGGATGAACCTCTACGGAGAGGAAGAAGAGAGGCTTAGAGGGCAAGAGGACAAGTCCAGCTCTTGCTGGAGTGGACCACAAAGAGGACAAGTTCAGCCCTTGCTGGAGTGGACTACCAAGAGACGTTTGCAGACAGCAGCACACCAGGGACGGTGTTTAACTTTTGTGCCAGCCTTGGAACTTTGTCTTGACTTCCTGCCTGTTTGGTAGTATCTCTCCTACATCCTAAAACATGCACCCAGCATACATACAAAACTGTTAGAGATTATTTAGGCACATTTCATATATCACATAATTTTTTTATATGTTTATAATTTTAGTATTGAGTGCATTTTGTTAAGATAGTGCTTCAGTAGTCATTTAAGCAGGAACGAGTAATGATAATGCATTGGGTGTAATGTGATGTTTATGCCTGTGTAGTTTTATAATTGCTAATAAAACGTTTTAATAATATCCTTGGTGTGGTTTCTGACAAACGCTTGAACCCAATTTCACAATTACCCCCCACCATCCCAAAAAAAATCAGATTAATTGGTATTATGGCCTTTGCTGGTAGTAAAATTAGCTGCCGCATTTGTCTGCATAACAAGACTCGCTTTGTTTAAATTATTCATGATTTGTGGAACGTTCTTAGCCAGTCTTTCACGTCATAGATGCTATTTCAATCTTAATGTTATATAAATTTTCTAAACTTCCAGATCTGAAGGGAAGACTTGCTAAGTTCACCTGTGTCTTTCTGGGCTATTTCTTTGCACATGTTTTAGTAAACCTTTCAAAGCACTCATCTCTCACTGAGTATGCCCCGCTTTGCTCAAGTGCATTCTCTTTGCACAATATTCTACTTGCACATAAAATGTTGAGATAATCATCAGATCCATTCGAGTGAATGACCATGATCATCATATAACTTTGCATTTTCTCCCCCAGTCCAAGGCACACACAATTTCAACACCACTGACTGGTCGCAGATACATGAAGGAAAGCAACCCATGTGCGACCCCCATTTCCTCTGCAACGCAGTGTGTTAGTCGTCTTCACGCCATGCTAATGGGGCTGAAAAATGCACCCAGTGAGAGATTACTACAAATTTTCAGGTAAGGAATGTTCTGAATGCGTATTAAATGCAGAGGCCTTTCAGTGCATATCGTAATGAGAGGTAGTTTTCCCATTATTGTCACCATCAGTGTGGAGGAATGAGCTGGAATCTTTGTATTCTTTATTTTTTTGTGGTGTAAAGGTATTACGATGCTTTGTGGATGTTAATTTCGTTTTGTGGCTGTGCAGAGCGACTCTGATGGAATGCCATTTCTGATACGTGATGATGCATTTACCCTTTCAACAGGTCCTGCTCTGGAGATCCCACACTGCCGATCGCTCACAGAGTCAAACAGATGGGGGAAGTATTCTGTCACCATTATACACAGTCTACCAAGGATCACTCTGGCTACTCTATAGGTCAGTGCAGATTACACTAAACAAAATTATTCCTTTGGACTGTATACCTCCAGTAGTTGCTCCTGTTGCTCTATGGGAGAAACTCATTACATGCTGGTTGACTTTGCTGCCTTCAAAATGAGTTTGAGTTATGGAGGGCATTCTTACCTGTGATGTGGTACATCATTTCTGTACAAAGAGATGATATCTTCTGGTTGGTTGTGCATCACAGGCCTGTTAATATGGTTGGTGTTTCACTGCAACTGTGAATATCTGAAAGGTGCTGTATAACTGAATTTTTCTTACTGTTGCACAGACTATGCTACTAAATACCTGTGGCTCGCCGAGATTCTTTATTACAAAGTCCTGGAAGCGGTTATCGAGCAGGAAAAGAGGAGGTTGGGAGAGATAGATCTGACTGTAAGTGTACATTAACAGCTAAAAATGCACTGAATGTTTTAGAAATGAAGAGTGCTTTCCACTTGTAGTCACCCTGTGCAATAGGACAACGTTGAGATGATATCCTACATTTCTTTTCTCCCTCCTCCCTGCCATGCAGCATTTGTGACAACAGAATCACAATTCTGATTCCACAAATTCCCGATCAATTTTGTTGCCTAGTAGGCACTGTCCACAGGACCATTTTTATTGAAAATGTCGTGCTTTAAACTTTGCACTACAAATGAGGTTGTTTCTCCTGATGTTCCATCTCATCACTTACAGGAAAATAACTTATAGGAAAAACCCAACTGAACTGTTATATATATATATATATATATAAATGTGGTATAAATATGGATTATCTGTCTCTGCTTCTCACCCAGGGAATCCTGCAACAAGACATATTCCATCGTTCACTTCTTGCCTGCTGCCTTGAAATAGTTATCTTTTCCTATAAACCACCAGGAGACTTTATGTGGATCATGGATATCTTTGACCTTCCACCCTATCATTTTTACAAGGTGAGCAGAGCGATAGCAATCTAGAAGCATTGCCTTCTTCAGGACCTGCTGAAGGATTTCTCTTCCCTCCAGCCATCTCTCCAGGCAAACACATGAATGGCGACTTGGACAAGATCACCACTGCCATCTCCTGGAATTACCCAGGATTTGAGTTACTGCCGTCAGCAAAGGAGGGAAGAAAATTGGATTNAAAAAAATAGATCTCAATTTTTCCACAGGTTTTTGCTGCTACATCCGTTAGTTTGGTGATTATAAAAAAGGTTCAGTTTTGATTGGTGCTCATCTATATTGCTGACATTTATATTGCGTCTTTAACGTCGGGAGGATGTCCCAAAGCGCATGTTCATCCCAAGATCATTTGCTCAATCTGAAAATGCCTGTGATTTACTGACCTCCCTCACTCAGAACACGAGGAGCAAATCAATCCAAATGCAAAATGTGTGCTGCACACAATCCCAAATGATTCTGTTTGTAGAAACTTTCTTTCCCAGATGGGTGGATAATAACATCAGATAATTGTGGGCTCAGAGCACCAGGTTACAGTAAGAGGTCATCTGAGGTGATGGTCGCAGTGGGGAATTCTTTGAATATTTTGTTGCAATTTTGGAAGCTGATTGTTTGAAGCCTGTGCATCTGCCATTTTATACAGGTGATCGAGGTGCTTATTAGGGCTGAAGACGGTCTGTTCAGGGAGGTGGTCAAACGCCTCAACCATATTGAGGAAACAATCCTAGAAAATATGGCATGGAAGCAAGACTCACCTCTCTGGGATGGAATTAAAAACGCTGAAAACAAGGTTCCGACGTGTGAGGAGGTCAGGGACTGTTTTCCTTTCTGATTTTTGCGTTAACCTAAATACAAAACGCTGACTCTGTCTTTGAAAGATGACGCTGCCGATTTATTGGTTTCAGCCAGCAAACAAATTTACAATTTGTGCTTTGGTTTAGGTGATGCCATCATATTATTTTGAGAACGCAGAGCACACTGGCAGCAGCCTGCCCAGCTCCCCACTCCCTCATGCACGGCTAAAGGAGGTCCGTGCTGATGGGAGCAGGAAAGGTAAGTGACTCGCTTCAAACAAACTCGCTACGGCATTGCCGTTCACTGAGAATGGCTACGCATGAGAATTTTTCTTGGGATGCAATGCTAGAATCAAGCTATTTATTATCAAATAATAAACCTTGCAATTGAAATGGTGCTAATCATGTCGGGAGGATGTCTCAAAGCGCCTTGCAGGATTTACTGTAAAGTGCGGTGACTATTATGCAGGTGAACACTGCAACCAATTGGGAAACACCAATTCCCTCAAGTGCGAGGAAGAAAAATAACTATAAACAGCGCCTTGTGGCAACCCCAGTTTCCTCTAACAACTACATTATGTTGATGTTTTTTTTCTCTGTTGTGCTAATAATATAACCACCCATTTTTCTTGCTGTTTTTTTTATCCCCCCCAGATACGACTGCTTCACCCACTACGTTGCACGATCGGTACAGCTCCCCCAACGCAGGGAGTGCAAGGCGGAGGCTGTTTGCTGATGCTGATACCACCTTGGACTCTTCGACCAATTCGATGAGGGTTTCCCAGCATCAAGCTGGCAGTGTGGTCCCGGTGCAGAGCGTGACCGCCGAGGCTGTGCCGGTGACACACCTCCCAAGGCAAACGCTAGTCACAATGGCAACTGCAACTGTAACAGCAACCATAATACCAGTTCAAGGCAGGTCACTTCATATCTTTCCAATAAATACCTCTCACAGCTTGAGCCTCCGAGTACTTCAGTTAGATTTCAGCAGCCGACTTTCAGATGTAGATTTTGTTTGTGTTGTATTACTGAGATCCCGAATGAATTTCCCCGCAAATCGTAAGCAATTAGTGTCATTACAGCCAGTTGGTAGCCCTTTAAAGGAAGTTCTTCTTCTGAGCTCAGAAAACTGAAAATCTTGTTACAAATATTTACATTGCTTTTACATTTATTCCTGTCAGTGTTGTTAGGTTTCAAGATTTTTATGTGAGTTGTGCAAGCTTAAAAAGCTATTTCTGCTAAATACATTACAATTGCATTAAACGTCTTATTACCAACGAGGGATTGAAAAGTCGTGTTGAAACATTTTTTTGATCCCTACTTGGCTTTATATTTTCCAGGTATCGCAAATGAAAGTGGAAGCATTGCATTCATTCCAGTGCAGTTCAGTGTCAGTGGGCAGACCCAGGCTGTCGCTGGTAACATTCAGACCCTCACTGCCCAGACACTTTCCAGCAGCCTAAGCACCCAGCAGCTGGCTGGCACTCCAGTACACATCGCAGGCCAGGTGCCATTTCAACAAGTCTCCCTGTCCCCAGGACAGCAGAGATACAACCAGCAGCAAATGATGGCAAACAGGCCCAAAAAGACAGGCTCTATCGCCTTAGTCTTTAGAAAGGTATGTTGTTTTTTTTTTTTAAATGATATCAGTGCAGAGAAACAGAATGTTTTTTCATCCATTGTCAGCTCTATCTCCCTGTGTCCTGACCATTAATTCCCCCAAATAAAATCAGTTAATCAGACTATGGCTGTTTGTGGGAAACGTGATGTGTGCAAATTGGCTGCCGCATTCACCTACAAAATATGCTGCACTTTACAGTATATCCTGTGACGATGTCCTCCCAATGTGAAGATATCAAAGGCAAGGATTATTATTACTCGGGATTTGAAGTTCTTTACTGTATGTAAACTTCCAATAGGGACGCTGCTTTAATTACAAGATAATTGCTGGATGCAGCAATGTTGCTCATTGTGGCTGTGATTTCCTGATATTCAACTGAGAACGGATTATAACTATTAAAAGTTCTGAGTTCCACAAGCAATCTTGAACTGCTGGAACTTAAGTAATCATTTTTTATACTCTTCCACCCTATACTTAAATCAGCAGTATACAGAGGTGATAAGTTTTGGAATTGACACCTTGTCACTCATGAATTAATTTACTGAAAATGTGTTAAGAAAATGAGACACTTGGGTACTGTCAAATGGAAGTGATGTAGATTGTATTAAAGGACTAGCTGTTTTCTGTGAGTAAGTACTCATTCAGCAGCTCGTACTAAATATGTTGTAATATACAAATATTGTAGTTGTATGTGATCATTTATTGCAAGCTCAGACATTTATATCTTGCTTTGAACAACTAGGTTTATCATTTGGCAAGTGTCCGCCTGCGACATCTCTGTGCAAAACTCGACATTTCCGATGACTTGAGGAGCAAGATCTGGACATGTTTTGAATACACTCTGGTCAACTGCACTGACCTTATGACTGACCGGCACTTAGATCAGCTGCTTATGTGTGCAATTTATATAATGGCCAAGGTAAATTATACATTTGAGTACCTCATTAAAGTTACGATAAGTGAAATATGCTCCCTGATTGCCCAGTGCTTAAAGGCACCTCTTGTAATATTAATCAATGCAGGTGAGAAGGTCGCAGGTCCAAGTATAGGCCTGTGGTGTGTTAACTCATCTCAATCAGAGCTGTGCTTGGAGAGAGAAGTCTCCTGGGATGGGGAGGTGGGGGACATCCGCTCAGGTCAGAGCCCTGATGGTTGTGTTTCTGCATGTTTGTTTGCATCCTTCTCGTGGTTAAATAGTCTGCAGACGCTCGCTGTGTCGGTGCATACCGAAGATATACCTGAGGTCACTTGGGTGAGATATCATAAGTGGCATCTTCGAGGAGAAAAGTGAATGAGAATCAGGAAAAACGCACATTTTCGAGCAGCACAAATGAGCCCAACTGAGAATAAACGTTTGTTTTCAGGTGACGAAAGAAGATCAATCCTTTCAGAATATCATGCACAGTTACAGAACCCAGCCTCAGGCCAGCAGCAACGTATGTGAAACCACTTTATTACCCTTTTCTGACTCTTGCATTTTTTTGTGCGATGAGTCGATTGATATGACAAACTAACTATTGACTATTCTTTCTTACATCAGCTGTTTGTGCTTGCATTTATGCTATATCTTTTAAAGTATTTGAACAGACTATTGCCATGCTTACAAAAACTGTCACAAGTTGGGGAACGACTGTTTAAACGATTTTCACATCACTCGATTATAAAACTTCAGAATTTGGAGAATATTCAACAATCCAATATGCTATCTTTAAGGAATACATGCAATTGGGATGGGTGGGGTGGGAAATGCACTTTTGTTTCAAGTTAAAATTGTTATTGTTTATTTGCACGATTTAACTTAAAAATAATCCAAAAAAGCAGCAAATGTTTTCTCACATAAAGTGGTCAAAGTTGTCCCCAGAGAATCTTTTGACTGCAATTAATAGTGAAGTACTGCGAGATTGCTGTACAACAAATGTAAGACAGTAAACTTGCCTTCAGGTTTTGCAAGATTTACTGAAACTTGGCTAGTTGGAGCAAGATTTTAAATGAGGTGCGTGAGAAGGAATAACATTAGCTGGTAGCAAGCACTCGTAAACCTCCTGAAGCTCACTTATTCATACCCCCTGCTGCAGAGCCCAAACAAACTCTTCCAACTTGGGGATTACTGTTTAATCAAATTTTGGTTAATGTGGGCAATGCTAACAACACAGATCAGAAGTCTCTGACAGCAATTCAGACTTCACTTTTGAATGGTTTTCAAATCTCAAAATATTGTGTTATTGTATTGGGTCTGGCCTCCTCCTTGCCCCTGAGTCCTCCGCTCCACCATCTGCAGCCGTACCTTTAGCCACTATGCCCCAAGGCTCTGGAACTCCCTTCCTCACTCCCTTCGCCTCGCAGCCTCTCTTTCACGTCTCGGCTGAAGACCTTTCTTTTCAACCGTGCCTTTGATCACCTTCCTCCCCTGCCCCTGGCTCAGCCCCAGGATCCGTTACTGTGAAGCGCTCTGAGCTGCCGTCCGGCGTGGAGAGCGCTATATAAATCCAAGTTGTTGTATATTACAGTGCAAAATCTTGTATGAGGGTAGTCCATAAGAACTGGCATCATTGTAGGATTATACAAGGACGTTGTAAAAAGTTGAGTTGCAGATCTGTTTAAGTTCTTGTATCTGGACTACGGAAACCAGGTCCTGTTGTACCTGAACATGAGAGCAACCTTTATTTCCAATACAATACATGTAGAATGTATCTATATCTCAGCAAATTCCCATTTTATAAACAAATTACATTGTAGGAAACTGAACACTCTTTGCTGTTTGCCATTTTTCATAACCTTCAGTTTTAGTTGCATTTTTAAAGCTTCTTTTAGTCATGTTAATGAATTTTAAAAAAATGGCAATGTCACCAGAAATGGTAACAGTGGTCCTTTGAGCCTTATTTCCATATTGTTGGTGCTTCAGTGTTGTTCTGATTCCTATTGCCAGGTTTTTTTCATTGTAGAAGTCTGTTGGTGACAGAACTAAAAGTAGTGTATTATCACATGACTCAAAATTCTTGCCTTTCAGCCAGAAATTGCAGCCAACATAAAGCTTATTTTCCATTACAGAATACTATAATAACAGGACAGATCAAAAGTGTCTTGGATGTGTGCGCTTCTCTCCTTGACATTTGATCCAATGGAACTGATAAATGTAATTCATAAATTTAATGATTATATTTTTATACATCAGGCGGAAATGAAGCTGAGTGGTATAGGGGAGAAGAATACGAGGGGTGGGGCCTTGTATGGAGTATAAACAACAGCACAGACTAGTTGGGCTGAATGGTTTGTTTCTGTGCTGTATCATTCTATGTATTTCTATATATTCTGTGCAAGCAATTATACTTCATGCTCTACAATTTGTTTTATGGTTGAATGAGCATGTTTTCTGTGTGAGGGCATGTATTTTGATAAAACGTTATTTAAAAATGCCATTATGTAACTTAACATGGGAAGATATGGAAAAGTAGCCCAGATTTGTTTGCTGTCCAGTTTACACTTGCCTGCTTGAACTAGTATTTTATGAACCTTTACAATTTAAGATTCGTTGCTAGCCTCAGTTATTTGACAGCGACTGCCAAGAGGATACCAGCATTCCAGGTGCTGAATTGCTCTTCTGGCCAACATTTCTCCACACATCCTAGCAGAAGTATGATGTGCCCTAAATTAATGCATTTTTCCATTTCACACTCGATAAGTTCTGCAGGAAATCTGTCGTTCTTGAGCAAATCACACTCTGGTTCTGATCACACCCCAGAGTGTTTATTACGTCCAGATCGTGGTTACCAAAACTGAATGTGATGCCCCAGGATTAGACTGCTGTTTCTGTGCTGTATCACTAAATTTAAGCAGTTGCTCAGGAAATATTACATGCCAGATTCAATTCACAATCTGGAGATGAGTACATAAAGCAAGAGGACCTAAAGAATGGAGAAAGTAACAAAAGATGTAGAATAAAGATAAAATATGGACTTGTCAATTTTAAAATATTAGCCTGGTGAATGTTTGATTTTTGGCTGAAAACAGCAAAGAAAAATTTGCCTCAGATAATTTTACTGATTTGCTTTGGAGTGATCCTCTGCACATATTTGGGGAAAGAGGTGGAAGATTTTAACTCTGAAATCTGATCAGTTAATGGCTCACCAGTTCTGCTGAATGAGTATAAACAGGTTCTTAGTTGGTCTAAACAGATAACGAATTCCATTTGTTGGGAAGCTGCATTTTACTTCTAGTTAAGTAATATTAAAACCAATGTACAATGTTGGTGTTCTGCGACCATGCATTACATTGAAACTCTCTTGGCCCAATTGAAATCAGTGTGAAAAGCATCTTTACTTCAGGCTGTATAAACGCAACATAAAAATCATCATAAAATATGCCAGGTATATAATGTAAATTTCAGCATTTTAAAATCCAGCAAAATTTACATGTTGCATTTATACAACATGGATTTTAATCCAGGGTTTGGAGGGTGAGATTGTCTGTCTATTTATTGCTTTAAAAGTTTTGCAATTCTGAAAATCATTTTTTTTGTTGCCTTTTATTTCTCCAACCAAGCACAAAAGCCTGACACCTGGGGAAATAAAATGTGAAAAATCACTGGCAACACATTTACATTCTTTCCATATTAGTCCATTGTGTGCTTTAGATCTGAATCAACTGAAGCAATAAAACACAGTGAAGTTAAAATACTGTATATTGTAGGCTATGTGAGGGGTTGGGGAGTTGACAAAGCAACCCTCAGGAACGTAGTAGTGTTACTGGCACCTAGCAACTGAATAAAGCACCTGATGGGGTGAAGTGCATCTTCAGCAGCATACGTAATGCCGATTTGTGACACTTTGGCTATGAGATGATCTTGGTTTGCTGCCGAGGTCTAGCATGGCATACGTAAGCTTCACTGTATTATGGCTCCTAAATTTACCCAACGTTGAAAAGATGATGGCAAAGTGATCCACGATAACCCCAAACCTCTGGTATTGTGAGAAACCTGGCATGTAGCTCACAAACTCTGCACCAGCCTCACTTTCCCAGAAAGACTCAGAATTCTGACAGCCATCCCAAAGGAGTCATTGAAATGATTGGGCTAAATTCTAAGAGTTTCCCTTTCAGTAGTTTCCCTCACTGCTACTCTGTATCCTCACAAACTGGTCCTTGAAATAATGGGTACGTAGAGAAATAACACAAGGGTCGGGGAACATAGATGGTTTTAATGAAGGTGTTCTCTTGATATACTTCCCACTAATCCTGTATGTGGACTGTGAGCTCAATTCTTCAGTGCTTGAGTTAGTATGTTAGCAAAGGTAATAACTTGTTGCTGTGATCTGGATTACTCTGTTTTAATAAACCTTTGATCATAATTACTCACCATGATTTAAACCATTCTAACATTAGATTTGCCAGTTCTCTTCATCGTGCATTGCTTTGTATTTCTCTGTCGGTGAAAGGTGCTTTACAATGTTAATTTGTTGTTGTTGTTGTTGCTGTTGAAGGTTTACAGGAGTGTATTGTTGAAAGCTCGCAGAAGACGAACATCTGGCAGTAGTGATGGGAGTGGCCGCCAGGGTTCACCATCCGAGATCAGCAGAGATCGGAGTAGGTTTCTCAGACTTATTTGTTTTTCCTTTTTATGCATTTAGTTGGGCATTGGCACAAACTAATTTTGATTTGATTTTTTTTTCTGTATTTTGTTTTATCATTTTGATACATTGCATTGTTCAACTCTAGACCCATTTTATTGCGACCATCATTACATTACAAGATTACCCCACAATCACAGCAGCATCAAGCTGCTTTTTAAAGGAGTCCAGTGTCCTGGTCTCAACTACCTTTCCTGGCAATCTTTGCAATATATTTAAAATTTATAAATTATTACAATGTATTTTGTGAAGCACTTTGAGACATCTTGATGTGATAAGGCGCTATATCAAATGCAATGATTATTATTATCTGTTCCAGTTGTTAATTATTCTGATTTTATATATAAAAAATTCTCGTATGTGCCCAGGTATTGCCCTTTACAACTTGAAACCTGTGTCCTCTTGTTCTACTGTCTTGGTGCATGCTAAAGTAATATAATATTCCTCATAAATGTGTTGTGTTGTATAGCCTTTTTGTCTTGTGTACTCCCTTTTGTGTTGTGGTTTACAGCCATCAGCTGGACGCAGCAATTACAGCCTTGAATTTTCTGTCTGGTTTCTGATATTTTATTCTTGTTTGTTGCATTTTATATTGTGAAGTAAATTAGTTTTCCATATAGTATCCTAACATTTACAAAATGATCTGGTAACTTGCAACCGGTTTAAAATAACATTGACATATTTACAAGTCGGTATGTGTACAAGGGAAGAGATCATACAACCAAAAGAGCAAAGTTCAACAGGTTTGCCATTGTCCCAACCCTCAGACTAGCTTGCAAATTCCCAACATTTTATTGAAAAATATTTAAAGAAAAATTTGCAGAGGTCAGAAAGCAGTTGCTATGCTACATTCTACCAGTCTTCAGATCACACCTGAAGACTTTCCTAGTGCACGGTGCCTACGGTCACCCCCACTTTATCCCCGTCATGGCATCAAACGGGACCATTGTTTAGCTGTCCTGCGTCAGGAGTCCTATATAAATGCAAGTCGTTGCTTCACTCCATGCAGCTTTACGTTTTATTCTGTGTAGCCAGCAGAGACTCCAGTCCAAACATGAGGTCGAATAGCACTCTTCCAGTACCACATCCTAACAGTGCACCACCTACCCCAACTCGACTGGCCGGAGCCAACAGTGATATGGAAGAGGAGGAGAGAGGGGACCTTATTCAATTCTACAACAACATCTATATAAGACGTGTCAAAGCATTTGCATTGAAATATTCAGCATCAAATCTAGATAATGGGGTAAGATATTGGTTTCTTCACAATTATATGAATAGAATTTTTAGTTACACTATCTAAGTGTAATCATTAAAAAAAACTTACATTGATGACCTACAGGGCATAATTTGTATATCCTGTATTTATTCTGGGTGGAAAGGTAATAATAAATCCTTGCATTGATATAGTGCATTATCGCATTGCTGAGACCTCTCAAAAGCACTTCACAGGATATACTGTAAAGTGGATTGACTGTGATTTTGTGTGTGAAGATTTCCATTATGATTTTTGAGACCCAGTTATGCGCAACCTGCTGGGCTTCTTTCTTAAGTATAAATTGTGTAGCTTCTCTTGTTCAATTCTGGAAAAAATTCCTCAAGTCCAATATATCCTTTCACTTGATATGCAGTAGAAGAGCATTAATAAAATGGGAGTTGGGGATCCGTAAGGCAGCTGCGTTATGCTCCATGTGCTGCAGTCATAAAAGACATGTTTCGAAACATGATGGAGCCTGCTGGCTTTCTGTGTGCCGTTTGTTTCTTGGCCAGCAAATGCTGGGGTTCACACCCTAGTAAGTTTGCTTCCTGTAAGTGAACTTGTGTTATTAATGTTGGAATGTGTTTATATAAATTAATTATATTTCATCTTTCATCTCACTTAATCTTGAAGAGAAGTGTGGTAAAATGATCATAGAAAGCTTTTATACTTTGCAGGATTTCTCAGTGTCCATTCCTTCACCTGAAATTGGGGAACAAAACACTGACATCCACCTCATTTAAAAGTACTGTAAGACAAATGGGTAAATTGTTGAATCCATTTACTGCCACAGGAGGGTGCTGTAAGCACTTTTTGCCAAGTTCCACAGCACACTTTAAAGTAATAATCTTTTCATTTTCTATAGCGTGTGTCACGTTGACACATCTCTGCAAAGCATTTTGTAGGTGAACATGGCAGCCAATTTGCACACAGCACTCTCAGCCATGAAGTGAATGACCTGTTTAGTCTGGAGAATTGTTGGCAGGACTCGAGAGAAACTCCCTTCTCTTTTTGAATGGTGAATGATTTTTAATGTCCACCTGATCAGGGCAGACAGGACATCAATTTAACATCTCTTCCAAAGGATTTATTGGTGTCATGAGGGCACAGTTAAATTATATAGTTCATTATACAAATGAATTCTATGCAAAGAGCAGTGTGGTAAAATGAGCACACAGCTTGATATGTAGTTGCATTTTTTAATATCCATTCTTCCACCTGAAATTAGAACAAGGGCATCCCCAATCTCGTCTCACTGCAGCTGCCCTAATACTGCACAGTAATGAGATGAATGGGATTTTATTCCCAATTCCAAATTTATGAAAAATTATTTTGAATATGAATGAATTCAGGTCTGAGATTAATGTGTGTTTATTTACTCAGGGTGAAGCTTCATCTTTATCCCCTTTCCCATCTGTAAGGATGGGATCACCACGGCGAGTTTTACTCTCTCAGCATCACTCCATTTATATTTCACCACATAAGAATGGAGGTGCTCTTTCACCAAGGGAAAAAATGTTCTACTGTTTCAGCAGAAGTCCATCTAAGGTAAGTGCTGATTTCAAGCAACTCATCTTAATGCCTGCTGTTTAAGCGCTCTGAGATGCTGCCCTGCATGGAAAGCTCTATATAAGTGCAAGCTGTTGTTGCTGGGTGACAGTTTAGTTCACTTGAATTTTATTTATACACTTGTTTGCAAGTGGTACAAGTGCATCAAAGTATAAAGTTAGAAAACAGCTCAAAGTTCTAGCAACACAGCGAAGCTTTAAATGACTAATCTATTGCCTGTCCAACTACTAACATTCCAGTAACTCGTGCATATTTTCTGTTTTCAATCCATGTGTAACTGCTGGTGTTCATTTGATTTTCTTTGGTTGCAGAGACTGAGAGACATTAATAGCATGATTAAATCTGGTGAAACTCCGACAAAGAAGCGTGGCTTTTCATTGGATGATGGCAGTGAACTACCAGCCAAGAGGATCTGTCAAGAGAATCACCCTGCACTGTTGAGGCGCTTGCAAGATGTAGCCAATGACAGAGGATCACACTGATTCAGTCTGGTATATATTTCTGATCACTTGCTATGAAATAGTACAGATTTGGCAAACCCTGCACTCGTACTGACCTTTGACTTTTTCCAGTGTGTACCTGTTGGCAAAAGTCCTGGAACCTGTCACTGAACGTTTTGAAAAGTGGTGCTGGATTGCAAGCCGGGTCCTAACTTTGTGAAAGTTATAGGGACAGTGTTAAGCATCCTGCAGAGAAATGAAAATTGAAGGGGTAACAAGGATCAGCTACTTTGAACCACCATCAAATTTCCTGCATGGAATAGCAGCCTGCTGTTCATGAAATAGTTTTGAAGGCAAAAGCGCTTAAATGCTTTTTAGATTAAAGAGCAGGGTTGTGAAGCAGTCAGTTAGTTAGTTCACTGCAATTTTTATAACAGCTTATTGCTTTTATGAAAAGTGATACCTTAGTAGTGCTGTCAAACCCAGATTTGTACTGAGCCACGTATGTGACTCATGAACAGTTTGAGCTACATCAGTTGAAAAAGTTGCTAGGATTTAACTGACAGTTACATATGAAGAGACATCATGAGGTGCAAGTTATATTCATTGAAATATATGGAAAACAGTTCATGGGAATCATGTTTAATATACAAATCTGAGTCATATTATCACTATGACATGTAACAATTGGGTACTTGTTTTGTTTGATTATTCAGATGAGTATTTTAGATGACTTTCAACTGAGTATTAAAAAAGCCCAACTAAGGAAATTGACTGCATACATAACATGTTTAAATATGCCAGGGGGAATTATCTAAGACAAATGCTTTCTGCTGAAGCTGAGTTACACTGAGATGCCTCATGAGTCAACAATATTGCCTTAGTATATCCAGGGTTAGAAGTGAAAAATTAACAGGGTTTGCTAGAATTTTTAAAAAACATTATGAACACATTCTCTGTCTATCAAGATTGAAACATAATACACTTAGTTTTTCAAGTGTTGTACAGATTCTGTTCCAGGGTGAGATTGCATTTGTGCATGTCAATCTTGTCAAATTGAAAGGAAGGAATAGAATAGCACTTCTATTGATAGCACATGGTAGAGCTTGACAAACTGCAAACATTTACTTACGTTGAGGTAAAGTGATCACTAAAAATGCAACCAGCCAAATCAGATCTTACTCAGTGGATGTTGGATGTTCTTTGCTATATTTACCAAATTCAAACGTTACTAACAGATTCAGCTGGTGTAAGAATTAACAGATTGCAAGTTATCACCCCCTCATTCTGGCTTTTTGCTACTTGTTCTCCCTGTGACTTAGGAAAGGTGTGAGACTAATGCTATAATTTTAAATCTGAGAAATTCCCCATTTTATAGAACAAGATTCTCCTGTTTTAAGTTTCTCAAACATTTTAACAATGGAAAAATGCTCCATACCTCAAATTAAATTGCATTAAAATGGATAAAGTACACAATTTGTTCATCAGTTGAGTACTGTTCTGGTAAGTGACATCTGAAAACAAGGTAAATGTTTATCAAAATAACTGATGCTTTTAAAACAATTAAGTCGTTACATCCTTGTCACTCTGTAAAAGTTGTGAAATCTTTTTTTAAACAAATATTTGTATATGTATTCAATTGTACACATCGATTCAGTTATAAAGAGTAGAAGCTTCAATGAAGTATTGAGTGTTTTACGATCATAAGCATTTTAAAGAACTAGCAGCATTTAGTAGAAATTTTTTGTCATTTCATATAATTATCTGCTTTAAGCATTTCTGTAAAGTGAAACGTTGAATCTCAAGAGTATTAATTTGACCAAATCTGATTCATAAACACTTTCAACATCACTGGTTGTCTTGTTTTATTTGGATGTTTATTGGGGATATAATAATCCTGGCATTTGATATCGCTCTTTTCACATCTTCTAGACATCTCAAAAGTGCTTCACAGAATATACTGTAAAGTGAATTGACTGTATATTCATGGGTGAAACACAGCAGCCAATTGTACACAACAGTGTCCTACAAACAGTCGTGGATTGAAGTGACCAACTTATTGTTTTTTTTCGAGGGATTATTATCGGGCGTGTGGAGTAAGAAACTTGCTCAAGGTTTTGCCCTGCCAGGAATCGAACCCAGGTCTCTTGCTACCGAGGTGAGTGCTCTAACCACTGAGCTACAGAACTCCATGTGCCTTGTGTTTTAATGAAATGAAAACTTCCTTCAGTTTAGGTGGAGATAATTGTATTGTTGGTAAATTTACTATGATTGTAGGCTTCTGCAAGATTTCCTCACCATGGGACCACAGTAGCCCCTTTTGGTGAGAGAATGCATTGCTCAATGTAGTGATTTCTGTGGTGTTCACAGGATTAAAATCCACACTCAGTCACTGCACTTAGTCTCAAACATGTAACCCCATCACCCTAATCTTGTAATGTCCTTGGTTAGCAACCATCGAATCAAAGTACCTCAGATACATTCTGATCCAACTTAACATGAAAACATCTTATTGAAATCAAGATGTTTGCCCCTGTTGTTGATGGCAATCCTGATGCAAGTAGCTGTTGAATGAAACTAAGCAAATTAACAGAACATGGGAAGAGTCCAAATGCATATTCCTATCTTTCACCTGGACTTGTTTAATGATGAAACCAAAATAAGATTTTAAAAAGGCTGTAGAAAAAAATGTTAACTTATTCGTCAAGAATTCTTTAAACACTGAGCATGCCCACTACCCCACAGGACAAGAATTCCAAATGTTCCAAAATTGAATTTAAGATTAAAACTATAGTAAAACTCAATGTATTGTAACGCCTTTGGACATCAGAAACCAATAAGTAGTGTCCTTACCCACAACTTCTGCAAATATTAAACAATTTGACCAAATAACAGCTAACATACAGAGTGCCACCTAGTGGTGTCTGCAGCCATAGTCAGTTTCCTCCACACTTGTCTTCCATTTCTCTTGTGGAATGTAGATGGGGCGGGGAGTATTTCAGGTGATGGGGAGTAACTTCTGTCATTTGAAGCCATCCCTCATTTCCAAGTTCAACTTGTACATGAATCCAAAGAAACAAGGATGCAAAAAGCCATTCATTGCAGGTTTAATTTTATTTTAAGGGTTAAGCCACTAGACATTCATTGCTAGGCAGCAAATACCTCCCCCTTAAAATGCACCCCAATAAAGTACCTAATGCAATAAAACAGGATGTAACTTTGTTTACTGGTCTATTGCACAAGATTATCAGAACACAAACTAATATTGGAAGTAGTTTTCTGAATCAAATTAGTTTACACATTCATATACAGCACTGACTGAAATAAATTCCAATGTGTGCTTGAGTGACAGAGCAACTTGCACACATATGGAAACAAACTCCCAGTTTTTGTCAAATGGAAGCACCACTGTGCCACAATCACCTCCAGCACCATTGTCATTTCTACCTCAAAGTGCCGATTGGGCTTCAAATGAGCTATTTACAGAATCATACCAACATATTTACAATAGAAAACCCAAACATGATGCTTATGAAAACCGCAAAAATACTGTCAAAAATCAGCTATGTAAAATCATTGATTTGCCTGATTGCTCACCGTCTAAACTTGACATCTTTACCTCATCACCAGCCCCAAAACATGAAAAAAAAATCTTCCCTATCACCAATGGCAGTGATGCAGAATGGTATCACTTGTAATACAAAAACATTCAATTCACCAACCAAATCCACCAGAATTATGATAGTTGTATTGCCAAATTTACGTAGGTAGAAGTTCCAAACAACAATTTACAAACTGTTAAAAGTTGAACTGCCAAGTTTAAAATTTTATAAATCTACACGAAAGAATCCCTCTTCAGCAGTTTTACATTTTTACAGTCAGTTTTAAAAAAAACCTTCAAGTCAAGACGTCTGCACCCTCAAGAAACAGTCACCTCAGCTCTCCTTGTCCACATCCCTTTTTTCGGGTAGAAAGTGCCTGCTGTGCTGATGACAGAAAGTACTAGGTTTGTACAGTGTTTTCATCTTTGCTGAAAGGTTGTGTTGAACCAGGCTTTACCCATGAAAGACCAGACACATGCATGGTTTTGGTCTGCTGCTCTTCAGTTTTTTTCTAGGCAAAAAACAATTTATAAATTGATATACACACTTTTGTAAATACAAATAAAGTCTTTACTGCATAAACCATTGCATGTACCCAAAGCTGTAGTTCAGATCTGATTTAGAGTTATACAATGCTCAAAGCAGCATTACAAAATGTCACAATAAAAACAAATTAAAAATCCAAATATTTACAAAATGTATTATGCCACAATAACAAAATATAAGTCTTGAACTACGAGTAAAAAGCAGAGTTTTGGACAAAATAATCCCATTTATGCTGCAATTCAAGAGTCCCAATTGTGCAAACTCAAAGCTCAAGCACAAAGCTTAATGTGGTTCAAGCTATATAAATGCAAGTTTTAAAATATGACAGGAAAGAAATAAAATGACTCACTTTTGGAGCTAAGAGATTCTCTCTAGCTTCCTCGTGCACTGTAGGATTCCAAGGTGAAAAGCTTTGGGGAAAATTTTATTTATAAGAAATTAATTGTTTTCAGAATAACCATATACAAGTTAGGATCTAAATCCTCACGTTTCTAGGGTGGGGAATCTACCACATATATAAATTACTGTGTGAAAGGTTATTGAAATCACATGATCATTTACTATTTGGGAGTGGGAACATTTTTTATTGAGTTTTCATGAAACTACTTTAACTTTTTATAGGCACAATTAGTATTTATTAACCTTTAAACAATTCAAAAATGTCATAAATTATTATTGACAGATATTTAATGGAAGTGAACCAATATTTTCAATTAAATAAAGTCAATGCTGTTCAGCTTACCTAATTGCATAGGGGTCATCCACTTTAGGTTGATCAAAGAGACGACTATTACACAGTTTCACACTATCGACTACTTTGCTTTTGAATAGGTGAATATCTTTTTCATACCTAGAAACAAAAGATAAATTTTCTATCAATTTATTTTGGCAGTTTAGCTGCTCTCGTCATTTACAGAACAGAAAGATCCTTTTAATATTTTCATCAATTGAGCAAGTTAGCAAAATAGTAAGAGAGAATGGTTGCTAAATAAGGTTTTAAAAAAAACCCTGATTTTATACATGACACACAAGGGTAAATTCTCGCTATGTTTTAAGGAACGCTAGCAATCCGGTATCTTGTCACACCCTGGGTAGTGCAGCACAAGCCCCAGCAAAACAAAAAAAATCTTCAAGCTCTTCCAAAGCGTAATGTTCTTCCCAGCGATGCTAGCTTCTCAGTTCAGGTTCGTTTTGATTCTACAACAATTTCCACCCACTCTGGCAATTCATTTTAAAAAGGCACGTGGTTGATAAAAGTTGTCCAACAAGCTCTTCTAACACATTACCCCAGTGCATTCAGCAGTCCAACTGCTGTCAAACTGTCTTTTTAAATTCATTTGGACCAGTTCCTTGCCAAATGACTGCAAAGTTGACACTAATTCTACAATAGAACAGACAATAATGTCACGCTTCCCTTTTTCACTTCTCTTTAAATTGCCAAAAATAGTACTATGGGAGATCTGGTAATAATGCACTTACATAAAGTACTGCGATGCGACTTAAAAGTGTTCTGCTCATAGGACTGAACGTTCAGGAAGGGACTTCATTTTTAAAAAATTACTATAGTCACAGGATAATTCCAAGTGTTAAGTACACTCAGTCAGCTTTGGAATATCACTGAATTTCAAGATGGACAGAATTGTGATAGCATTGTATTGTTAAGGGATGACTGAATTAATTTCTAGCTTCACAAGAGCATTGAATATTGCTATACAATGCAAGGATACCAACACACTCAATTTCCCTTTGAACTAAATGTTGTTCACATCACAGGTACAATAGGACAAATAGCCTCACTAAGCCTACTGTNAAAAAAAAGATTTTATACTAACGGTTGGTAGCTGATTCTATCTGAAACAATTTAATTCAGTTAATCCTAATCGTATCCATGAAGGAGATATTAAGCCTCTAGTCACATACAAGTTTAAAAGCAAGCCTTTGGAGAACTGAGTTTTTAAAAAGTGGATTTTCTTTCCAAACTCACAGAACTGCAGCTTCGGGGTTCAGGGGATTAACTGTATCAATCTTGTAAAACACTCGGCGAGCATACATCAGTACCTGCCAGATGTGATTATGATTCCGCCTGAGGGAAGAAAATAACCATAGCAACACAGCACTTAGAAAGCTTTCATGTAATCAGTAAGATGTCTTCATTTTCAATTTTCACAAAACTAAAGGGTAGAAGAAATATATGAAAAGGGGCAGATTTCTTCATCTCTGGGAACAAATACACACTCACAAAACAGTAGATTATATAGGCCCTTAAACATGGTATCGAAGTACTTGACATGTCCCGGCGTAAATGCAAGGATATCAAATGTAAAATCATCATTTGGATTTAAGTTTTGAACTACCCATATTGTAGTCTTAATCAATTTGATAAATCAGAGTGCCCAACTGCCCAAGCAAATACACATACAAAAATAGCAAAACTAGTCAGAATCAACCATGGGGAAGCATGATAGACAGATGGATACAACCATCTCTAATGTGATCATTAGTGCTGTACGGTTAATTAAGACAGCTTTTTCATGTAGCATTGATGAAAGAACCACCTCCATGGACTGGGATCAGCATGTTTTGGGGGTGGGAGGGGTGAGAGAAAGAGGAGGGTAAAACACTTAAACCATTATGTTTTGTCTTTCAATTTATTCTCAATCCCAGTAAATGAAGGTTTTTAAAAATAAGTGGGTGTTTATGTACTCCAAATCACCAGAAACCCTGGCAGTGTTGGGAGACTTCCATGAAAGCCTCAAATACTGTACAAATGAACAGACTACAATTGATGTAGTGCGGCTAGTCACTGATCAAGAATTTAGTACAATACTTACTTACTAATGTGATCATTAGTGCCCCCTGGTTAGCTCAGCATTTGATTTAGATATCCTAATCATGAAATGGTACAGCTTCAAAGTGAAATAAGTCCTGTTGAGTTCACAACAATGGCACTGTTACACAGAAGGCTCAATTATTCAGGTTTTGTTTTGACATAAACCCACCTACTGAGACAAAGAAAATACCCACAAAACATGGGTAGACTGCAGCAACCCAACTTATTCCAGCCATTACCTAACCATTTACAAGAGTACACATTTGCTTCCTCCCAACCTGAAGTGTTCGGTTAAAAAAAGTGAACAATTTACAACAGCCAAAACATTGTACGGTAACTGCAGGTCTGAGTCCATACAAAGAAGCTTCTGATCTCAAATCAAGTTTTATTAATGTAGGCATATGGAACATTAACCATTACCTAGCACACAGCTCCCATGAATAGAATTAATGGAGCGAGAGACATCGCAACTTAAATCATGTGTTACAGATTAGTCAGAATTGTAGCTGCTTAAAAAAAATTGCAATACTAACCTCCATTTTGTGAATGCTCTTTTTACATCTAATTCCCCAATAGCTGGATCTATTAGCGGGTGGAAGACGGGCATATCAAACATCAAACGCTAAAATGCAGAACATAAAGTTGAAACATCTTAAATTAGAGAACAATTCTTCAGAATTTACCAAAGCTGTTCTTCCTCATATTGGATGTTCCCCACCACCCCCACACAAGTTAAATCAGCAGTGAACCAAAGATGGGATAACACTCGGCTCCACTGGCTCCCCCACCCCACCCCCCAGAGGATAGAGTTCAAAATTCTCGTCCTCGCCTTCAAGGCCCTCCACAGCCTTGCTCCTTCCTACCTCTGCGACCTGCCGACCCCATATCAACTTGCCTGCGCTTTCCACTCAGCAGGCTGTGGCCTGCTCCACTTTCCCTGCCCGGCCCGCCCCACCATCAGCGGTCGGCCCTTCAGCCTTTCTTCCCCCACCCTTTGGAACTCCATCCCACATTCCCTTCACCTCGCTCCCTCTCTTGCAATCTTCAAGGAGTATCAAAACCCTCCTCTTCGACCAAGTCTTCGGTCACCCGCCTACCCTCGATCCCAACCCCCAGCTTGGGTCCAAATCCCTGACAGTCCAGCGCCTTGGGATGTTCTCCCGTCGTGAACGGTGCTATACAAATTTAATTTTGTATTGTATATTCCTGATCACTGTCTTGGTCAATTCAATAATTCATCAGGAGCCACCATAGTCCACCAATTAAATCCCATATCGCAGATTTCTTTTGAAAATCATGTTAATGTAGTGATGTAGGGAGTGAAGAAATCAATGCCCTCAGTGTAATGGGGCAAGTAAAGCGATTGTTTTCATCAAGTTATTTTGTGTTTTCTATTCTAGGACAAATTGTTCTGTAGCTTCTTTCATTTCTACATCATCACTGTATTCAGCGCAGAAAATGTTATTTTATAAAGGATTATAGATAAAAAGGTTTGCAAGTTTTTTTAAAAAAAACAAATAGTGCATGCTACAAGCAAACATTTTATCACAGCTCAGAGCGACATTACTTACCGGACATTCTCCATCCGGGTAGTTGTCAGGGATGTAAATAGTAAATTTAAACACACCGTCCTGATACAAGCCATGTCTTATAAAGATCACCCCAAACCACGCTGGTAAAGAGATACAAAATCAATATAACTAGCAATGAAAAGGGGACAAGAAACAGATATAAAGTTAAACCGTACATGAAATGTTTGGCTTGAAGACTTACTTAAAGCAGAACTGTATGAAGGCTGTACATATACTCCAGGCAGCTTCTGTTTTACAACTAAAGTACTGTAAAATATTAACAATTGAATAGATCACCAAGATTGCACATTTCAAAAGAAAGTATCACGTGCATAGCAGGAAGTTTTAAACTTTAGCAAGTTACTATATAGATTTAAGTAAATGGGAGGGAGGAAAGTGATTAGACACACAAAAGTTGGAAATTTTAGCTTCCAGCACACTGGGCAGTACTCTGGAAGCTAAAAATGAAAGGCTTGTTTTAATTTGCATTTTAAGATTGAATTTATAAATTTGGTCACTCAATCCATGACTGTTTGTGAGATATTGCTATGTGCAATTGGCTGCTACGTTTTGCTGATAAATACAACAACAAAATTACATTTTTACAGTCATTGAAGTGTCTCAAAGCGCTTTGTAGAATATATTGTAAAGTGGATTGACTGTGCGCCTTGGGATGTGCTCCCGACGTGATAAGGCGCTATGTCAAATACAAGGATTATTATTATTATCAAAATAAATTACAAGGCATGAAGTATAATTGAAGTACAGCACAGAATTATTGTTATAAAACTTACAATACAAACACATCCTAACAGCTAAGACAATGTTTGACTGTTATTAACAATAAGGACCATGATAAAAGCTGATAACTCACAATTCAGCGAGGAGTGAATACTCTAGATAGAAAGGACCATATGAAGCATGCGTTCCATTTGTCGATGGTGCAGATGGGACAGGAGAAATGGGTTTTGTAACAGGAACTGCATTTTTTGGAATAGCGGGCAATTGCTTTTTGACTACTGAAGTGCGTGGAGGGCTAGTTTTCTGTTCTCCAGGAGCACCCCTCTCGTCACTCTCAGATTTCTGTAGAAAAGAGAAGAAACAAAATGGTTGAGTAATAAAGGGTTCAACTTCTCAATCTCAGCTAATGAGGTAGCGAGCAGAGGATGAGACATAGAAAGTGTATTACCTAATAACAGGGTGCAGACTGGATGCAACGAACAAACTAAAAGGCAATCCACACATGGAATTACTTGTCCTGGTATTAAGACAATTTTAGCCAGCGTAGCAACTCTCAACTCACTCGACTCTCCAGTTCCAGCTACTGAAAATTGATAGAAGCAAACAGCTTCCCCTTTCGCAGTTTACATTGAAAGCTTATGAAAATAAAGCCAGCTCTTCTTACCTTACGAGCAGAACTTGTAGACATGCTCCAGAAAGGGTTCATCACTTGGACCAGCGTCACCTCCAATTCAACTGCACGCCCCGTTGAACCTCTTTAGTCCACTTTATATTCTGGAAGAAAAAAAAATCTAAATTGTTATATCTTTCCCATTGCAGTCAACCAACATGTCAAGTACGAAGATTTCTCAAAACACAGCCGAGTTAGCCCCGGGATGATTCACCAGCAAAGCAAGTTTGTCCTGTAGCACAATCAATGGATTTTTTAAAAAAAACAGGCCATCAGGTCATTGGACATACAAGTTTAACCAGACAATCTTTTCACTTTTGCAACACGATACAACATATTGACGAGAGGGAAACCAATAAGGAATTTGAAATAAGCATTAAACGGCATGAAAACTACAAATGAAAAAGGACTAGAAGGACATTAGCAGTCTCAGAGGCACACGTCATATCATCACCAAAAAAAACATATTGCTCAGGAAGTGAGTTTGGACAACTTCTAGCAGATGGCGGTGCACGCTGCCAGCCACGCAAGGCAGGGATCATCTGGCAGTCCAGATATGTGCTCCAGTCACACAAGTTTAGAAACATAAACCAGCTGCAAAATAAGTGGCTGTAACACCACAGAAGTTTTGTCCCTTAAGATCATTTTGTTGAAATTGTGCTACTGTCCTGACAGAAATATGAAAACTACCCCAAAAAGGTTGGAATAAGACAACACAAAACTGTATGTCGTGTTTTCTCAAACTGTTTTTTTTAAATATAAACCTCTAGCAACATGTATGCAACCTAGGATGAGCACTCCCCGCCTGAACAGTAAGAACACAACACAAATATCTGGACTTCAGAGCTGTAATTTGATCTCAAGAATCAGATAACCTCCTGAAATATGTGTTCAGATACTCAATTTGATCTCAGGATTCAGATAACCTCCTGAAATATTATAATACATTCACGGGTATTCATTTCTTAAGCAGGTATATATTTACTGTGCTTTGTTATGTAACATGCTCTGCAACACAAACAGGTTTTATGCAGTACAATATGTCATCGAGCATATAGAGCAGCAGGTTTAGTTAGTAGATTTCTAGCAAAATATAGCAATAGACGGACAATTCAGACCAACTTCATAGAATTAGCCAGAATTTTGTTTCTTTGGCCATAAGGGAAATCAACTACTGTGCTTATTGTGTACCCAAAAATAAACCATTTTAGAGAGGTTTGTCTCTAATTTAAGAACTGACCTAAAACGTTCTCCCTGGATCCACAATAGATGTACTCCACGGGAGCGAGAGTTTACTCAATCCCCTTATGAAAACACTGTTGGCTGCAATGAACTTCCACATATCAAAGTGGAGGCTGCACAAACATCAGTCTATCGAGAACCATGTGTAAACCATGTGTAGACACGGGCATAGCATGCATCGACTAAAGAGGATATTATTGGTTATCTAAATTATGTAAATAACTACCAAAGGTTTGATTTTTTATTTCATAATTAAATCCAGTTCATAGTTAATTATACAATTTAAGGACACCTTTAGAGAGTGTAGTTAAAGTGCACTTAGAGCACACGTATTTAGAATATTGATCACATCTCAAAACAATTCTTACATTCGATTATAGCGCCTTTCATATCAGAATGTCTCAAAATACTTCACAGAATATACTGCAAAGTGCGGTGACTTTATTTTGTAGGTGAACGCAGCAGACAATTTGCAAACAGCAATGTTCCACAAACAGCCATGAAGCGAATGACCAAATTTTAGTTGAGAGACTGTTGGCCAAGCCATTGGGAGAAAGTCTCTTCTCTTTACGAATAATGCCATAGGATCTTCAATGTCCATCTGAACAGGCAGACAGGAGATCAATTTAATGTCTCATCCAAAGGACCTCCAACAAGGGAGCACAAACCAGCCCTGGGATTGGAGTGTTAGCCAAGGCCGAGCTCAAAATCACAATTTGTGGCTAGAACACACAGCCTTTGACTCAAAGCGACCCCATAAGATTGCATGGCACTAAATCCCTGCTGATAACACTGCAAATAGCATACGAATAACATGAAAAGAGTTGCAGGCCCCCTGGTTTATTGAACATAGATACTATTTTGGATTAGAATGATTCTCGTCTTATCCTTTCAGGTGATTAGTGTTAAATCCCATTTTCAAGAAGGAAAATGGAAGGCTGTTGGAAGGATGTGGTTTATTTTGTAGGTCTTATCAGTGCAGATAAGATACTGCCTTGCAGAAGAAGTTACAAAATATGTAATTTTCTTTAACAAAGTATATTTCTGCAAGGTCAAATCATCTTAATCAGAAGCTGCAGTTTCCCATCATGAGCACTTTTCACAATGCTCAGATCTGTGACTCAGCAGATTGTTTAACCGGAGTAGGTTGAACACCTTTAGAATTAGCGTGTGGAGGAGGAGACACGCAATTAACTGCTCTTTATTTGGCACTCAAACCTCCTCACACCCACTTGTCAGGACAAAGTCTGGATAAAATTTCTCATCCTGAGAATAATGTAATAGTTTCCTTTCCAAACCCGTGTGCCAATGCATGAATTAATGCTCTGAACATGGATTGTTAGCTTCACATTTCACAAGTTCGTGAACTTGCACCTGCCTCAAGCCATTTTAGGAAATTTACCTCACGCAAAAAACAGCTGTGACCTATTCACTGCTGACAATGGTTGGTGCACCATTCTTCAATCAAAACACGGTTTGTAATTTTCGCGAGTACCTGAAGTAATAGGTGTCGAGGCAGAGAACAAAATTACAGCACTGCAAATTAACAGTTGGATCTGCTCCCACTGCTCAATCACTGTTGGAGAACTACCTGATCAAATTACACAGAATTGTGTGTTTTTTTTTGTTGCAGTTGTAATTGCAATTGCTGAATGCATTATACAAGGCACACATGAAATTCACAACTCCAGGATTCTGCACACTTGTCAATCTCTTGGGAGGCTTTTGCTTGTTCCACAAAAATTACCGATAAAATGCTGCTACGTTAACGTGAAGCTAATATGGCTCGCAGACACCTTTTAAAATTACAGCATTTTTAATTTATCAGAATCTTCACACACCACTGATATGCATAGGCAGCATTAGTCTAAATATATTACCAGCAATTCTCCCCACTTGGGTAATTTTTTTCCTCTGATGCCACTCCAGTAATTATGAAGGGGGATAGGTGTTCTAATTCCATTCATTACTAGCCACTTAAAGGTCATTCTTAACTTCCTATTTGGTGAATAAAATAAAAGGCAAAATATAACGATATCCTCAGAATAGCGTACACATAATGCAAATTCAAACCACAAATTTTCTAATCGCAGGAAAAAAAACGACAGAATTATAAGAACATGGGAACAGGAGTAGGCCAATCGGCCCTTCGGCCTGTTCCACCATTCTATAAAATCATGGCTGATCTGTACCTCAACTCCAATTACTCGCCCTTGCCCCATATCCCTTGATACCTTTACCTAACAAATATCTATCCACCCCAGTCTTGAAAACTTGAATGGATCCAGCATCCACATTGAGGGAGAGTTCGAGATTTCCACTACCCTTTGGGTGAAAAATTGCAACCTGACTTCATTCCTAAATGGCTTAGTTCTAATTTTTAGATTATGAACCCCTTTTTCTGGATTCTCCTACCAGAGGAAATAGTTTCTCTTGTTATACTGCATCTTACAGCCCAGATTAGCTTTAAATTTTCTTCTAGTAATTTACCAATTCCATAGCATATCGTAAAGCTAGGGTAGCATATTAGCTTTGGTGCCGCTTGCCAGGGATCAAAATACATTTTAGACAAAGAGCATGGGTTCCAGGTAGTGCAAAATACACTTTATAGACCTCTGAATGGTCTCTTTTTCAAGATAATCCCCATGTGCTCCCCCCCTCAATTTCAACCCCACAGCTTGGGTATGCCTTGGAATGTCCTTCTGATGTGAAAGGTGGCATATAAATGTAATTTTGTTGTTGATGATGATAACTGTTCTACCTGTCAGAATATCTCTAGATTTTTAACATTACTGATAGTTCTACTAGCTTGTCAGAAAAACTCAATTAGCATTCAATTGCTGATTGATTAATTAAGCACTGCAGTCATGCACTTAAATATTTACAGTATGATGCAAAGCTGCACTACAACTTGAAAAGCTGCCAACTTTGCATTGCTCTAAGCAGGTATTGCTTTATCAAGGCGTGTGCAGTATAATTGAGCAAAACAAAATGGAACTGATACCAAACTGAAGCACTCGCAAACCGACGACCACATTCCTCCTGCCCACTCCCCATAATCACTGTGATAGGGAAAAGATAAACAAATGCTTATTTACATCCACCGTCTTGGCATACTTTGAGAAATAAGCAACTCATCTAAGTGGGGGACTCCATTAATCCACACCCGTGGATGTCACAAAGACTTTACAATTTACATTTGTATAGAATGCTTCACGCAGGATAGCATCTCAGAGCACTGAGTTGATGGTGTTCAAGGGCATGAAGGGGGAGATGAGGTGTAGGTGAGCACGAGGATCTTGACACTTCTGGTGAGAGACAGCCTGGCAGAACGAACGCACAAAGCAACAGCGGGAGCATCGGATATCAAGTGAGATGTGGAACGTATTCGGAGAACAATCGCAATCACACAATGCAAAAAAAACCACACAGTTGAACGAAAGATAGCAACAACAATAACTCGCCCTTCACACAGCTGAGCGCCCCGGAGCGCCAGAGCTGCCACACGACTTGAAAAGCCGCCAACTTTGCATTGCTCTGAGTCAGGTCGGTAAAATGGTTGAGGGCGCTTTTTTTTTTAATAACCTCTTAACACTGGGGAGTGGGGCACGAGCAGAAAAATCAGTCAGAATAGCCCAAGGTGCAGGCTGAGGCTGCCGCAGGGGCCGCCCCGGTGTGTTCGTCTCGACAGCGCAGGAATGCACAAGCGCACACGTCTCGACAAGGCAGGACCCATCACCAGTATGTCATCGCCTGACGGGGGCAGAAACCCGACCCCACCCCTGCCCCGCCCCGACCCCTGCCCCACCCCGACCCCACCCCTGCCCCACCCCGCCCCTGCCCCACCCGCCCCGCGCTTCGCTTTAATGCAGAGTCTCCAAACCAAGCTGAGAATTCCGTGGCTGCATCCCACCGGCACCGTGGAAATAAATCCCAGAAAGAGAGACTGTCGGGGAATGCATTGGGGGCTGCACTCTCTCCCTCAAGAGAGGGACGGGTGGGTCCCGCTTACCTAATTCAGGGTGGTCTGAGGTGCAGGTTGGCAAATGACCACAGACAGACAGACAGAGGGGCGCATGCGCAGCAGCACCCAGCCGGCAGCCCGGCCCGCTCCGCCCCCCCCCTCCCCTCCCCAACGCCTCGCGTGATTGGCTCAGACAGCGGGTTAGTCGGTGCGGATCGCGCTGCGATTGGCCGAGCCGCCTGTCCATCAGCCGGGTCAGGCCAGTCCGTCAACCGCCGGCCCCGCCCACAGCCGCTCGCGACGAAACCTGCCGCCCTTTAAATGGCTGCGAAAGGTAATCGGAGATAGAGAGAGAGAGGTCCTGTCAAAACAGCGGTGTATTAACATTGTCGTCGACTCCGGGCGGCGACCGGTACCTCCTGCGACATGGCCGCAGCACAGCGCGGCCCGCGAGCTTTACTTACCCGCTGAGCGTCCCGCGCCGCGGACCCGTCACCACCACCATCTCCTCCTCTGCACCGACCAGACCAGCGAGGCGCTGATTCAACCCGACCCGGCCCGGAAGTTCCGCCTCTCCCCCCCCACGCAACGCCGCTCATTGGCTCCTTCCGCGCCGGCCTTGGCGGTGCAGCCGCGCCATTGGCCGGCTTTCCTGTCAATCATTAGCGAGCCACTGCTCCCTGCACGGGTGGGGCGGGATCACGTGACTCCTCGTGGATCATGTGACACCGTCTGTGCAGGTAATAAACAGTGAGGCGCCGCCTAGTGGCTGAACCCACCACAAGCAGCTCCTGCACCAAACGCTGTCCAATACCTAACTGGGCAAAGCTTAAAGGAAACAAAGGTCCAGAGGACACTGCTGTGTAATAAATTGCTCACTCCATCCACGACTGTTTGTGGGAACACTGCTGTGCGCAATTGTTTTTTGTTGCGTTTTGCCCACAAATAAGAATTAACAATAAAACGTACAACTTACGGTATATTCTGTGAAAAGCTTTGAGGCGTCTCGGAAGATGCGAGAAGGCACTATTTTAAATGCAAGGATGATTATTATTATTTTTCTGCTCACTACTTGCCTGCATTGCAACATTCACTTCATTCTAATATTTAGGAGTGTGTGCATTCCATTCCAACAATTTATCTCTGGGATTCCCACATGGAGACGGGACGCATGAAATTCTCAGTTTGGTTTGGATACCCTTAAGCATGGTTTCTGCATGTGTCAGACATCCAACTACCTTCCACATTCCCCCACCACCCATAAAAAAATGTCTCTGCTGTGAAGCCCTTGGATGCTTTTTATTTTCCATGAAAGTTGCTACATAAATGCAATGGTATAATAAAATCTTCATCCTAATAGTAAAGAAAAACTGAAAGAACAATATGCCTCTAGAAAATTTTAGCTTTAATAAACACTACAGTACATTTTTGGGAAAACACTGAATGGAAGGTAGGAAAGAGTCAGAAGAATTGGGCATTATTCTGACACCCTATGACAAACATCGTGACATGCAATGAAGCAAAGGTGCATTTTAGAAACGCAGACACACGCAAAATGGTTTGACAAATACTTTGTTGTAAAGACCATAGCTTTTTAAAGGTTAATTTTACAGAAAAACTCAATAATTCCAAAAGTACAGAATATGCATTTGCTTTCATAATTCCCCCTCTTCAACCCTGCCCTCTTTCCCTCCACATATATGGGTAAAATACCTCAAAAACTATTACATATTGTGGACCATTTGTTCATCTCAATCTATACCTATCAAATCTTCACTCCAATTCTGGTCCCAAGAAAATATTTATTCAGTTAATTGACACAGCATTAACCTCCTTTATTGTGAGTGTGTTATCCACTGCACCGTGAGAGAAAAAAACATTTGAAAGCTCCAGTGCTGCTTGAGGCTTTTTAATTTTAAATCTATGCTCTCAAGATTTATTCTCACAATCGAAGGGAGAAAAGAAAATTCGAAGGCTTCAACACAGAAATTAAACCAACTCTTTTTAGACTGCCCATCCCACACCCCATCCCTGAACACTGATGCAATAGCAACATAGTTTATAGCTATGATGTTTGTGGCGTCCTGTAGCTCAGTAGTTAAAATGCTGGAACACATAGAGAAAGAGACAGACAGACACACAGTCAATCTCAACAGCAGATGAGTGCAGTGAAGCCCATTTACTGCTTGCGTCACACAGTATAACTATTGTATAACCAACAGAACCGTACAGCAGCATAGAGATGGACAGAGATAATGTAAAGGAAATGTAGGTGACGGAACTTTTTTTTTTAATAATACAGCAGCTGCAATCTCTTTGGATACTGAATCACTAAATTAAGTCCATATCTTGTACCTGTTAACAGTGGCTTCCAATTCACTTAATTCCCGTCAGTCCACTCAAGAGTTCTGTTGGAAGAGTATCTGATAGTTATAAACCGATGAAAACAGAAAACCAAAACAGGCACACAACTTTAGAACAAATAGGGCAAGAACAAATATGCCAAGACATTTGAAATATACCTGTTTGACTCTCACTTCTGAGTTGGGAGGTTACCAGTTTATGCCCCACACTGGGATTTTAAGCTCGTAGTCTGGGCTTGACACTCCAGTGCAGTGCTGAGGATCAGAAGGATTATCCTCTAGTTAATACATTAAAATATTATCTCCCTCCTGTTTCTGGTGAACATTCAAGATCCCATGGCACTGTCCCAAAAGAGAAGGGAGTTTCTCCTGGTATCCAGCCAACAATCTCCCAAATAAAAGTGATCATTAACTTCATCGTTGTGTCTGGGACATTGCTGTGTGCAAATTGGCAGCCATGTTCACCTACAAAATACATAGTTTGAAATCATTTCTTGTTAAATACTGTATGCAGACAATCTCAGCAGTGGGTAACCCTCACATGATGCACAACCTACAAAGCACCCTATAAAAAAGGAACAGTAACTGCTGTGGAAATTAGTTTAAGGTGATGATTCACTCATATCATTCACCTGACATTCACAAATCACTCAAACTTGACTTTCATAGTTTATAATGTCATCAAACAGATTGATGGATTTAGGGCATAGTAACTTACTGCCAACTATCTATTACCTTATATATGCTACCCTATCCAATGAATGTATTGCTGTAGGTGATACAGTATATTCAAGTCTGGTTAAGCTGTACATAATTTTGTCATGCAGTATTTGTAGGACATTGGTTCAACTGGAAAGTCACACATACCGTATCCATCCTTTGGATGAGATGTTGAACCGAGATCCATCTGTCTGTTCAAATGGACATTAAAATATTCCATTGTACTATTCAGAGCGAGAAATAAGTTTCTCCCGGTGTCCTGGCCAATAATCCCCCAGACAGAATTGGTCATTTAATTCATGGCTGTTTGTGGGACATTGGTATGTACAAATCAGCTACTGCAGTTGCCTACAAAATACACATTACAATAAATTCTGTGAAAGACCTTGAGATGTCCTTCTGACATGAAAGGCACACTATCAAATGCAATGATTGTTATTATTATTGGATGAAATGCATATTTAGAAGGTCAAGCCATTTTATTAGGCTAAAGTGAATGGGCTGGAGGAGGTTTGTGAAATCATGTATAGCGTGTATATTGTACTGGGTTGAGTTATTGTCATTTACTAGCACAAGATTTCCCGGTTAGTCACTTCCCTGGAAATGACACCACCCTGTCTTTCAAAACTAATGCATCTGTGGAAAAACACAACTTTGTCACAGTGTAAGTGGAGATGTAAGAAAGTTATGCAAAAATGACAAACTCTTGAAAACTGGGTTCTTGGTTTTTGGAAGGAAGGAGCTTTCATCCACCTGTCAGGGCGAGATCGGAACTCAAGTTCCAGAGACAGAAGCAAAAATACTCTTCTAACACATTGTTCACCTAGTCCTCTTCCAGTGTGTTTGCACATTTCTAACTGACTAACTCTAGTAGGAAAGCTGCTTAAATCCAAAATAATGAGCCACATTGATCCTTCTGCTGCAGCTGCCTCCCTTGTATTTACATATTCTGTAGATCTTTTTATGTCCTCACTGTCACAACACATAACTGTCTGTGACTTCAGCTCTGAGATGTCGGGTTTGCTGTGTGCTACCACACAATGTAGACTTTGGTTTAGTGTGTGGATCAAGAACAATTGCGAGATAATCATTATTGTACAACGATCTGACAAAGTACTCCCACTGGAGATGGCTGTAATCCAGCATTATTTTATATCACTCATCTTCCCAGAAAACTTTCACCTCAGATTTAAATTTTCATTTATTTAAAATGGCAGTTAAAAAAAAGGTGCTTACCGCTTCCAAACACAATTGGGGTTGACACTTTTGACGCAAGACTAAAAAAAATAAGTCAATTCAGGCCCTGCTAATAAGTAATAATGATGTTAGCCTGTTTGAGAAGAATTTGCTTAAAATATAATATTAAATTTAGGTTTGAGTGACTGGGGAAGAGTCAAAGGCAAAAAGCAATTGTTCATATAGCAATAGTCTCTCTTCATCCCCTTGGGCGTCTGCCTGACTTGCACCTCAGTACAGCAATTATGTGGTATAATGACTGCAATGCAAATAAGTGATGAGATTTTATTAAACCAAATGAGCAAATCAACTGCACATTATTGCAATTTGATTGACAGTGACAAGTGTTGAGGATTCACAGATGTGAATGTGATAGACCAGTGCTCTCAAGGAAAGCTCTTGATAATGTTACTGTTGATAAAGTTAGTCTGCAAATCTCTCGGAGAAAATAAAGGGGATGATGATGCATATTAATTCATGTTGTTAGCAACCTGACAAAATGTCACAGAAATATTTCAATGGGCTATTTATTTCTAGTCCCAATAATAACTATTCCTTCTGATCCCTGAAATGTTATATCATTGTTTATGCTCCACTAAGACACTGCAGATAAAAATAATAAAAATCACGCCAACAATATTTTAGATCACAAGTGATTGGCTTCCCTTATGAGTCCTTGTGCGTTTCTGGTAAAAAAATAAAAGGATGTTTGCTGTACTTACTGTTAATAACTGTTAATTAAAAGATAAATGTGCTGATTCTTTCAATGGCTCCTTATTTCATTAAATGAGTTATAACATTTAATATTTTCATTTTATCTAACCAGCAAAGGACAGATGCTATGCTATTTTTAAAGCTAGACAATTCTTTTTTGTTAGCCTGCCTCTGTGCAGTTTAAAAAACAGTGTTCTAAAATATAACAGCTTCTGATAGTATACTGTGATATTCTATGGTGTAATAGAGTAGTGAGTTGGTATAATTGAATTGTTTCCCATGGTCACCTAAAATACAGTGGCCAAATACCCTTAACATTCAGTTAACAAATTTGTTCTAAAGATATTAATATTTAGCGGATGGCTGAGAAATCATAAGAAATATGTATTTAAGCATGGATTATAAAATAACCATGAGCTCAATTTATATAACTTGATTTAATAAGCTGGGGTTTTCATTCGCACAATGCAAGTCATTTTCACACACACCATTGTGTTGCTTTTACATTTGGATTGAC